AGTACGTGGCGCTGGCCCCGTTGAAGAGAGATCCACGCGGCGGGCAATTGGTCGGAACCAGCTCCGGGGAAGGCTTCATAGAGTCTCTTCACCAAACGTGGCACCAACCAAAACCCGGCCCAGTCATGAAGTTCAAACTTCCTACAAACCCTGTCAACATACCAACATGGCTAGGGTCGCCAAAAGGGCCGTTTTCCTCAATTTTCCGTTGGTGCCAAATGCCCGGCAACGAAAGCCTTGTCTCCAAGGTTCTTGAGCATTGGAACTCACTCCGGCTTGGTCACCGTGAGTCGGCGTCTGCGGCTGGTCGTGGGATCGCAAGCCACAAAAGGTGGACACAAAGGATCACGGCTTCATCCGCCGGCCCAGCGTGCGGGATTGTAGACGGAGGCGCGTTGCACATGGCTCGGTGGAGCTAGCCGAAGTGGTGGCAGGTCCTCACCGTTGGGTTGGGCTTTGACAGGGTGCAACCTGACCAGAACTCGGAGTACGATTACCTACCATTCGACCGGCCAGCAAGGCGCCCTCTTTTGCCACAAACGTCAGACGATTGCCATCGAATGCAACGGGGCTTGCACCTTCGAGCATACGAGCATCACCGGGCGTTGTCAGCACGCGGGCAGTGAATAATAGGAAGGCACCAGTCTATAGGGCATCGAGACGGTTTTCGCGACCAGAGCATTTGGCAGCCAGCAGCTCACGTCGAACGGCAATTAGCCTCCCGAAAAGGGGGCGGAAGGATGAGCTTCTTGATGATGGACGACCGGTTCCTCGGTATGCAACCGAGGAGGGTCACAATTTCACCCCTGTTTCATCGCATATTTCTCCAGCAGACCCAAGCCGGCGAATGGGCTAATGCAGGAACGGCGGTGCCAACAATTTTGGCAATACGTACCTTGCTTTGGGCGGAACGGGAGCAACGGGGCAGTACGTACCTCGTCTTCTCTGGACACGTGTGCCATGACATCGTCCTGCGGCGCACCCGCGGCAGGTTCCTCCACCTATGGCAAACCCCCATCCACAAGAACTCGTCGAGTCGCGAATTGTAGGTATCCGTACGGATACGGCTGTTTCGTTCAGTACCGGAAACTAGGAGCGGCCCAGCTTAATCAAGCCTGTCTCCCAGCAAACGCTGATTTATCCCAGACCAAACCCACCGGACAATCAACATTTTGCTCTTGGCTGCAGTCTCCTACCCCCCAGAACCAGATGCCCGGATATCTATCCTCAAGGCCATCGACAAGGCGTCTTGGGCCACAGCAACAACCAGCCACAAGGGCCCATTATTAAGAGCTCCAAGAGGCTGGGCTACGATCCCACGAGGATCCCTGAAACTACAGTGCAATCACTCGTTCCGGGGAAAAGCCAACACGGTGCAAAGTATCGCGCTACATAGGAGCCAGTGGACTTATTACATGGGTGGAGGCACTTACCCACCCGTCTACCAGGGGGCTTTCGTCCTTAACGGCGGGTTTCCTCTACTGAGCCAGTTCCCGAGGGCTGCCGCAGGGCTTCCAAAACTACCTTACCTTAAGCTTCCATGTTTCCACAGCTTCTGGAAGGCTTCGATGCAGTACGGATAGAGGTTCACTGGAAGGACAGTGCCCAGGTCCCCTGTCACCGAGACCCAGAGGCGAACAAAGGTCCCTGAATCCGCCGTCAGACAGGGGAGCCTTGGCCAAGCGACACGGACGGGACTGGGTACGCGAACAAAAGACCGCAGCGCAATATTAGCGGCTACGAATACAGAGAAGGGCGACATCTGTATGGTTCCGGAATGATTGACGGGAAAGCTGTCTCGCCCGCCTATTTCGAGCAAATGGAGACGCAACGCTACGCGATATAGTTACCGAGACGAGACAAAACAAAGCCGACGAACGTAGTTGGACCTTGTCTTCCGTGAAAACATGGTTGTTTGCGGCTGCCGTTCGTTAACCAGCAAGCCAGACCCGCCTTAAACAGTAGGTTTGCTCCTCTGTCGTTTTTGGGCCTCTAGCAACCACAGAGGTGATCGTGCAGGCCACCGCCAACCAAACGACTCACTTGGCATGCGAGACTGCAGTACTGGGGACCCCGCCGCTACCTTACCTCACTCTCTCCTGCAACGATCCTCGGTGACAGGGAGATCGCCGGTTTGCGCGCACAATCGCTGCGAATTCGAGATGAGATGGGAAACGTGTTTCCAGCGACAAAGCTCTCCACCACTGCGGTCAACCCATGCAACGCTCACAAATGCATCGCCGCATCAGTTTCAATTATGCTGAAGGCGACAGAATACCACAACATCCAAGCAGCCAGAGTGGAGCCTTTTCAGGGCGCGAGGGATAGGCGCAAACAGCAAGCAATCAGCAAGAGGAAGCGAATGTGTCTTGTTTGCTTATCGCCGAACAAGTTGCCAGATACTCAGTGCCTCTGCAAATTTTCAGACTGGTGTGCCACATCGATTAGTTGATAACGTGGGCTGCGCGAGCGGACGGGAGCGATCTGCTTGCCTCATGCAACCACTGAATTCCGCCGCCTGCTTGTCTCCTTTTGGCGAGCGGTCAATGTTTAGTGGCTCGTCAGCAAGTCTGTTACATGCCATATTGAGAACAGAGGCCGTGGCGATCGCTGCTAGGTGAAACAGTCTTACCGCGGACTGATCTTCGTCTTAGGGGCTTCGCGGTGGGATAGACTAGTGAGTAATCCGCCGCGGATCTCCCTGACGTGATGCTCACCTCCTCCTCGGAGGTGACAGACACGGAAGGTCACTGGCCTAAATTCGCCATTATACCCACCTAGCGATCATCTCAATCATGAAGACATTAAGATTCTTGTTTTTGCTTCGGGAGGATGGTCGAGAACGCACCGTATAGAGGCGTCAGAAAGATAAAAGATCGTCACCAATCCACACCCTGCTCATCCCGTCTTGAATCCCACGTCCCTGAAAACCGCCTCAGTTCCAAGGAGAAAAAGACTAACAATCGGAATCATCGACTGAGTTTCAAAGTGTAGACAAGCCGAGCCCAAAGAGTTCAGATGATGTGCTCAACCACCTTGGGGCCTCCAGTACACTGGCTTACAGGGGGGCCGATAACCTCACCTCACGATCTCTCAATTCAACATCAGTGGCCGATTCTCCGGATACTAGAGATTTGCGGATATGAGGACTGACGAAAATCCTCGCATCGCTTTGTGGCAGAAGCTCATGCTCGCACTTCTATAGCCGCCCGGCACCGGAACGGACTACCCGTCGCCTATCTAGTCAGAAGAGACAGGAAGGCACGCGTTGAGACGGGCGTACCGTCAACTTTCTCACGACTCAGGAAGTTGATGAATGTCTTGGCTCAGCGGATCAGGGACCGCATGCCAGTTGCCATCCGTTGATATGCTGGTGCGCAGCAGCGTAAAGTCCAAGAAACATTGGCAAGTCCCGTATCGCCCGTGTACTGCTGACCGGGGGCTACCCGTCCAGCCGTCCTTCCGCGGCAGCTTCGAAAAGTTTGGAGGAGAGTTCCGAGCCGCCGTCAATAATTCCTTTATATCGCAAGATATTGAGTTCGTGTTTCGCGATGATGACGACACATGATTAAACTTTTCTGGATCCTGCAGATTCAAGATTACACTGCACCGCGGGAGACGGTCGGTTTACTGACAGCGGTTGTCTTGTCTCTGTTCCCGAGTGCGCCACCATGCGCAGAACCTTCTAATTTTGGAGTGGCACGGAGTTTACAGGATGCGTGAATATGACAGAACCATTGATCTGGTTCCCACAAACTAACCAAATGGGACGCGTGTAAAAGGCTCTGGTAGGGTGCAAAACGTGGACCAAACACACAGGATGGTATTGCGAGCACCGATCCAGGATGGGAACGAAGTATCAGATACTGTGGCTCATCGCGATGCACGACGGATAGGTCGCACACTAGCCTCAGCAACGACGGAGAGTTGGCTGGTTGCATGCCATGGGTTGGTTATTGACCGAATTTGTTGGATCTGGCCGCCTCTCAAGGTGTTTTGTCCAACGGGACAATTCCAATGCTCAGACAACATAGGCCATTTCTGCGGCCCACCCTCGTGTTCGGCCTTCTAGCAACACTTCCGCACAGAAGAAGCAAATGAAGGCTTTACAGACGACAACAACTATGGATCAGCAGACGGAACGTGCCCGACTCGAAGTGAACATGCCCTCAAATTGTTTTGTTGCTCCTTGAATGGCGGCTCGAAAGAAAATTTTGAAGGGGAGCGACGGGGATGTTGCAAGCAGAAGAAGCAACAGGAGCAGCGAGGATGAGCAACCTGGCAAGCCGAGTGCGTGGGGATGATGGTGCTCACCGAGGGGGCACGGGCTCGACGGCATGAAGAGGCGTGACGATGGGCAACGGATCGGTGTCACCATTCCCCCTCCGAAATGAGGAGCACGGCAGGGAGGAGAGTGACACGTCCGGCTCGTCGTCGCCGGGCGCCCGCCAAAGCTGCTCGAGGAACCAAGGGATGGAATGTACGAGGCAATGTGCTGTACTCTCACTATCTTGAGTTGGACAGTTACACTTGGACAATAGCATATCGGCGCTGTCAGGCTGGGCCCGGCCATGCCTGTCCGACGAAGGCATCGCAGGGAACGCGACACACAAAGTGGTAATCACCGAGAACCATCGGCATGGATACCTCCGTTTGATGCGACTCTTCGTTCGCATTGCTGCTTCGGTTTGGCCCGCTGCTAAAGCCCATACCAGCCCGAGTCGTGAGAGTCAGACGGGACATGCAGCTCTCATCAGAATGCAAAGACGGCACAGCCTTGCAAAAATAAGCAAGGATGGGCGGGAGAAGAGACGAGAAAGCAAAGGTGAGGGTGTGCAGCAGGTTTGGCAAACGGTTCACTTTGTGCGAAGGGATATCGGGGACCGAGCTTGCAAAAGCATCGAGGCTCTCTATTCTTTCCCCTTGTTTTTTCTTCCTTCTCAATGCCATTTCCCCCTCCAACTAACATGACATGAAGCATGGCCAGCAGCTATTTTTAATTACCGCAGCCCCGGCTCCGATAAATGCTGTGCACTCACACACACACACACACACACACACCCAAGCTGAGCTGAGCCGTGAGTGCGGAGCTAATTAGGGACGCGACTCACTCAACCGAGAGTCTTTCATAAAGCGTGCGACAGCAGCGTTTTGAATCAGGTTGCAGCGAACACATGGGCTAAGGGCCACGGCAGTATGACAGGTCGGCAGCGATGAGAACAAGGGTTCTCTCGAGCCGCTATGTCTGGGTGAAGGTTCTTGAGGTGGGAGTGGAAGCATGGGAGAGGTGCACTGCGGGAGGCAGGCAAGGAGGGAGGGAGGCATGGGAGGGACACACACAAGAGACAACAATCAGTAGCATGGCAACCTCGTCTTTAGTCCTCCATCACCATTCATGTGTGGAAGGATGGATGGATGAATTGGTCGGATAGGGTGCACCCCTGAAGGCCAACAACCCCTGTTCTCCATGGTCTCTCAGGAGGATCCCAGTAGGGGCGACAACCGTCAGTGCAGAGTGCAGTGTGCAGCAGGAGACGAGTAGAAGGGGAAGCCGCAAGCTGCTAGCAAAGATGGAGACGGGGATGGATTCGAGGTGTTCCGGTGAGCCTAATGTAAGGTAGGTAAGGTGAGGATGGAGCGATACGTATCGGCACGGCAGAAGGAACCTCAGCATTATACCAGTGGATACCTGACCTCACTGCCGCCCAGTACGGGGCAGCAATGTACAGTATCTTTCTCTTCTCCCTTCCCCATGTCCGATTTCAGAGCTATCCTTTGCTCGGCGTTCACTCGTGTGGGACAGTGGTTACCTTACTCGCTGTTCTGCCTGCCCCAAGTGGATGGATCTGATTCAAATCCAGTGCGGATGCTCTCTTATGGTTAAGATACCTCATATACTCCGTACGCAGCGTACCGGCGACGCGGTGCAAGTGCCCTGCGGCGTGAGGAGCCCCTACAGTCTTTCTGATCCTTGAGTGAACCAGCGCAATGTACCGAGAATCAGTCATCGCAGGCTCTTTTGCAATTGCGCATTGGCTTTTCCCCCCTTGTCATCTTTTTTCCTTTCTTCTTCTTATTCTTTTCTATTCTTTCCTTTCCCAAGGCCGCGATTTTGGCTGCGTCGCCACTGAAGTTTCCACGAATCGCGCCAACGGTCAACCATGCTGATTGGGCCCCAACGGCGAGTGACCAGCGGCGCGAAGTAGGATCAGCGACTAACTGTGTGGACTGGGGGCGAGACGAGTACCTTAGGGGACAGACAGACACTCGGACCTGAAAATATGCCACAGAAAGTAAGGTAAGCACGATACAAGCTGCTTCACCTCGCCTCAAGTTGGCCACGCTACGGTAAGGTATTCCACCATTTCAGTCGCCCTCGCCCTGAAGCCAAAAAGAGACGAAGGCCCTGACTCTCTGCTGCCACACCAAGCTTGCGCACCACGGTCCATCGGCGCGAAGCCACGGCATGGCTCTAGTCTCGACTGGTGCAGTTCCAGGAGCTCCCCGACAGCCTACGGAGATGGATGTGAGGTGAGCAACTAAGGTAGCTGCTTCTAAACAACGATGGCTGGCGTCCTTTGCTGTGTTCCGGGCAGTCAAGATGATCCATGCGTACCCAAATATCGGCATGGAGCAAGGATTCCCGTTTGGCTTGTCTGATGTGTTTTCACTGCTCATCTTTGAGAGGCGCCAGATAGGTACCTACTACTATGTACGTAGGCAGGGTGGCAGGTAAGGTATGCAGGCACAAAAAACGCTACGTACGGGTAGCTAAAGTTGGGTAGGTACCCAAAACGCCTCTTCACTCTGGGGCCCGGTGCGGGTACCTGGCATAGGCATGGCATGGCATGGCGTGGCGTGGCATGGGACGGGCATCTTGCGAGGAAGCCAGGGCCTGGCGTGGTTAGCTAATGCCACACTCCCCCTACCTCCTTTCTCATCCATGATCCTCCCCCTCCCCCCGTCGCCCCTGGACAACATGAAGGGGCCTGGGGACTGGGGACTGGGGTGTGGGAACCACGGTACCTTGCCAGTGACTTAGCCGTCTCGGCCGGGGAGGGGGAGGGTGTGGTTTCCAGCTGCAGGATGGGCAGCGGCAGCAACAGATGCTGGTCCCCCATCCATCCCTTCCCTTGGTTCCCTTTTTTTTGCCCTTTAATTTTTTGGTGGAAAAAAAGGAACCACCAAACCTGAGGAACATTACCAGACCAGAACCAGACCAGTCCTGAACAGACGGCCCCGAAGGAAAGGTACCTTGCCTGGCCTTACCTCACCGTGCCTTACATGGTTCCAGTCCAGTAGCCCATGGCCCCCTTCCCTGCGCTCCCGCCCTGACATTACATTACCTACTTTCCATTGCGAACAAGAAAAAATTTCCCATTCTCGGTCGGGGCGTCTGGAATAAGAGAAAGACTTCTTAATCACCTCCCTCCCATCCGTCATCTCCTGCTCCCCTTCTTCTGAGTTCCTATCCTCACTTAACTCTCTCCCTCTTGATCCTATCCTCTCTCCTCCTCAACGGCGCATCGCCCCGATCTCTCGACATCTTCTACATCTTTCTGCGCTTCCTGCCAGCATCCACTAGCTTGCCAAGCTTCAAACCAGCACCAGCACCAGCAGCGCTCTACTCAGTCTTGCGCTCTCTCCCTCTCTCTTACACACACACGCGCGCGCCCCCCTTTTCTCCTGCAAGCTCACCGCAGTCCCTTGACCACCAACGTTGCCAACACTCCCCCCCAAAAAAACGCCGTTCGCGCGCGGCCCACCAGCAGAACTGCCTGTTTCTCAGCTCACTAGCTAGAGAACCTGCAGCAAGCCATCCTCACCTTACACGCCTACCACAGCTGGCAATACTCTCCGCGACCCGCGCTTCACAGAGAGAAATCGGAACAGGGGGCCATCAATCCAAGACCGGATCCCGAAGCAAGTCAAATAATATCACAAAATCACAAGAGAATTCCCCATTGAGAAGCGACTTTCCAAGACCTGCGCAACCACCGTCTCCGACATCCGACCAAGCCCCAACCAAACCCCGACGGCTCACCAATAACACGACAAAAAAGGCTTCCCCCGTTTGCGACTGCGCAAAGCCCATCCTGCTCGAGCCATCCACATGCAACGGTGCCGATAATACACTCCCTCGCTTCCTCCGGTCCGCCTGTTTTGCTTCAGCTGCTCCTATTTCTGCGAAACAACCGAGCAGCATTGGTGACGCCCAATTTGGCAACATACCCAGGCCTCCTTGCATCATCACCGCCTCTTCACCCCCGTCCAGTCTCACCAATCCCATCTCCTGAAGACACTTGCACCCAAGTCTTCAAGGCCGCTTTCCAACACGTCGCACTACGACGTTCTAAATTGTGAGTCAGAGTTGCAGCAACGGCATCCACTAGCCAATTTATTACACCTTGTGCGCATACTCCCATGTCCTACACCGGCCTACCCTGTGGCATCTTCACCGTCATGTCGCGTCTGGCTTGTATAAAGTTGACGCTCTGTCCTCGTTGTCCCCGAGAGATTTGATCGAATCATGGCTAACAAGCAATTCAAAAGACCCTCAAATCCAATACATTCTCGCCTTTGCAAGCACTTGCAACATTCAAAATGGTTGTCAGAGAAATTACCAGCGCCTCCAATATGGGCCGTGGTGCCTACGACACGACTGGAGTGCCCAAGCCTCCTCCTCGCCCCAAGCCTCGATAAATCAGCGTCTCACTGATTTTCTGGTGAGCGATGCGCGATTGACGTGCCATGAGCACGATGCGACGAATTCCACATCTCAACTGGTCCGCGGGCTCAGGCCAACGCGATGATTTTCCACGCGAGCTCGAGGGGATCCAAACCCACCCCCTTACTCTCCGCTACCGCGTGTCTTGTTCGATCATGCACACTCAACCCACACTTTTCCTCTACGACTCTACTAATACTGGCCGTCTATTTCCACCTGTACCACCTCGTCTGTACAACCAAACGTCCTGGCCGGTTTTCGCAACATTTTACCATACACCATTTAATACGCATACCTGTCGAAGACTAGAACATATCGGCTCGCAGCCACAACTTGCTTCCCAGCAGCAAGGCGGATGGGAACGCCTTACACGGTTTTCATGACGTGGCATCGGTTTTATTTTGTGTACACTGTGGGATCATTCTATCCCACCTGCACCAGGAAGAAGAAAATGGGCATGGCGTTACAACATAGACGGATCTGGGCTTCTTGGATTTTGGCCCTTTTGACGGGAATTTTTTTTTTTTGAAACGTTTGGATTCCTGTCAGCTCTCACCTACCTCATCGGAGCTCTCGACGTCCTACGATACGACACTCGGCGACGGGACAATATCCCCGGCGGATCCATTCCAAACTGTCGGTGAGTGCTTCACAGGCACTTTGGTCGGGCAGCAACGCATGACAACGCAACCACCATCCTCCACGCACATGGCTCGCTGCCGCCTCAACCGTCAAATTCGAGGGTGTGAGACGACAATCTTCTTTTTACATGGGGCTCGTCGGATACGGGCACAAGAAACATGCAGCTTCGGGCGCTTGTTTTCCTTTTTACCATCTCTATTTTCCTTTTTCATTCCTTTTGCTTCCACCTTTCGGGCAATGCGATTTTGGGACGGGCTACAAAAAATCTGGGAACTGGACTGGGAAAAGAACTGATTCGCATATAGACTTTTGATTTTCTTTCATTTTGTTTGTACCAACTACCCCTGTATTCTCTAGGTTTGGTTGACTTTGACGCACAACCAGCTTCCTCGCGGTCCTGGTTGAGCTGGAGCACCAAGGATATGTCAGCAACGCTTTCCTACCTTTTCATTCCCTCTTGTCAGAACAACAAGGCGATGGCCATGATGGATTTACTGCCACTACACTTTTATTACTCCGCCAATTTTTTTCTCTGCTTTCTCATGGTGTGCTCGAGACCAGAGGATCCACGGCCACTTCATCGTCCATCTGTGGACGAAGCGAGCCTGGCTGGACTCTGGAATTGACAAAAGAAGATACCCCGCGGGTTTAGCCCTCTTTAGACTGCATATGTATAGTACTGCCATCTATAAGAGCCAAGATAGCTACACAGCGCTAGCGCATAGGAAAAGGAGATATCCAAATTCGACACAAGAAACATTTCAAGTCATTACATCACTTTTATTTTTATTTCTTATTTTTTTGCACACCGATGTTTGAGTTGAAGCCCTACTGACTTACCTGACATGGTGAGTGCCCAATCTGACATAGAGACATTCCAGATCTGGCAGATGTGCGTGAGTGTGTGCAGGGTGCATCTGAGTCAGACAGGGGTGGTTGTTGGACGAAAGCATTCCTCACCATATGAGGACGGCGTTGCTTGCCACCTTGCGATGCCATGCGACTCGACACACTCGACCCGACTCGGCTTGAGAATTTTGACTGAATCGAACCAAGTAATTCAAATAGGAGGAGGAGCAGAGGTGACGACATGGCACGGAATGGCAAAAAGTAGTTGGGAACTTGAGCGCAGGGGCCCCATTCAGTAGCCGTAAGGGGGCAAAGGGAGAGGATGATGTCAAGCCAGTCACCACACACGGGACGTGTAGCCGGGAGGAAAGGGAGAGGTAGCGTAGTCACGTAGTCTAGAGGATCAGATAGGTGATGGGAGGGGGAGTGGGGGAGGGGGGGCGGACAAGATCGGGAGCAGGTGGCGGATGCGGATGCGGGACGCGGGAGAGGAAGGAGGAGACCTGAGGAGGATGGTCTAGGTCCGGGGAAAGCGACAACACGTGAAGGGTTTGGTTCACCCGCATCGTCATGTCGAGAATCTTACCTCAGCCAAGGTAGAGAGGTCTCAGTCGAGTAAGTCACCGGCTGGCATGACATGACACGACAACAATTTGAAAAGGCGTGAGAGGGTCGTGACAGTAGCAGCAGCAGCAAACGCGATAATAAGCAAGCAGCGGCACGACACATCACGGGGCATGCAAACGATATGATCGACGGACGCGCGCGCCGACTCGATGGACGAGTGTGCCGCGGGTGCGTGGCCAGCCAGCAGCAAGACGGATGTTGCTCGCACGTATGTGCCTGCCGGCGACTCGAACAGGCGGACTCGACCAAGGAAAGGTAACCAGTCCCGGCCGCCGTTGCTGCCGCCGCCCCCCCTTTCGTCTGATCAGAACTAGAGAGGACGGTCGGCGCTTATGCACTGCAGCGTCAATCGATTTAGCGGGATATGAGAGACAGAGACAGAGACAGAAAAAGAGGCAAGGGGGTGTAGGATCCATCCTCTTTCGGACTATGGTAACACAAGAAACAGTTGGGCAATGGTGATACAACTCATTGCTTTTTTTCTGACTGCGACTGCTGTGTCGTAGATTGTGTGTTTGCATGTGGTGTGCGTGTGCGCAGCCGGGGAAGACGGATCGACATGGGTTTTGGTCATTGGTTCAATCAGATAGAAGTCAGGTGAAGGATTCAAGGAAGAAGTATCCGTAAAAGCAAGTTATTTGGTAGTCAAGTAGTGTACATGGATGAATGGTTCAGGACTCGACTGGCGCCGAGTTTGGATAAAGGGTTCGTTCGGATGGCACCTCATGGCAGGTTTGCATGGATGGTACCTCGGCACGTAGGGATGTGGCCTCTGGAAGCTTACCTACCATAGTAGGTTTCCGTACGGAGTAGGTAGTGCTGCTACTTTTTTTTCCCCCTTCGCCAAGACCTCACACGTTTGGATGTGATGTTGGGTTGGATTGGGTTGGAGTCTCTCCGAAATTTATTTTGGGGTATACTGTTTTCCTCCCCCTTCTTCTTCTTTCTTCTGGACTTTCTCTTTGGGGCTTTCGTGGTGTGTGTGTGTGTGTGCGCGCGTGTGTGTCCGCGCGCGGAAGATGTATTTTACGAGCCGGACTGCGGCCCGACTGGACGGGCGCCGGACGGATGACTGGGAAGAGCTTAAGAGAACGAGGAAAGGAAGGGGGATGTGAACTAGTGAAGCGGTAGTGATGGCCACAGATGCGACGTTGGATATTTGCCGTAGGGTTCCCCGAAATTTTGACGAACCGAGAGAGCTGGAAGCCGCGGGCGGAGCTGAAAAGGGTTGGGTGATAGGTCCCCCGGGTGTAGCCCGGCCGAAGGAGAGATTGCTCAGCACCTGGGCCCTGTGTCATTTGACGGTTTGGAGTTCAAATCAGTGTCTCTTCCTCACACTCACACACAAACACACACTCTTGTATGAGTCGCGTACGTCGTCCAACCAGTTTTCTGGGAGGTGCGGAAGATATCTGATAGGAGGGGAGGCGGGGGCACACACGGGGTATATTCGTAGCCCCGAGACGAGGGTTCCCGGATGCGCTTATGTACGTCTAGTTGATGCCGTGTATGTGTGTACATCTGACAAAGACTGGTTATTATTGGAAACGCTTCTCCAAGAACTGCCGACCTGTCGTCATGCGTGAGACGAGAAGTAGACGCCGCGTTTGGGGAGTACGACGACGCGCCCTGACTGAAGTGCGGCGCGATCGCATGAGCGAAGACTGCGCAGATTTTACGACGACATGGGAAGTTCCGAAGTACAGATAGCTCAGAATATAGACACACGGATACAGAGTCTGGTCAACACTATTGCGCAATCAGGCAAGGGGCCAAAATTTTGGGTTTGATGAATGGCGTCGGCACTAAGATTGCCCGAAAAGTTGGGTGATAACTTTTGCGGACGAGAAAGATAAAAAAGGGGAAATTTCAGGTACACACTTACACCAACCACCCTGGGGACCAAAGTAAAAAAGAATTGTGGAAATCCTGGAAGGCGAAAGAAAAGAAAAAAGGGGGTGGTGTGGGCTGGTGCTGCTTGGAGCTGAACTGCGTTGGTGACTTGTTTAGCCAGGGGGGGCTACGCAAATGTACTGCGCTAATGCAGCGGCGGCGTCCCGGGAACCAAAGCGCTGGGACCCTTCTTCTTGCTGCTTGTTCGGGAGTGGCCCGCGGTGGGCCGGAGGGAAGGATGAAACGGACCTATCATTGACCGTGATCACACCACACAGTACATGTGGACCCGCTTTCTTTTCTTTTTTGGACGAAAGAAAGCTGGCTTTCGGTGAGCAGCGAGCTCCAGGTATGTCCCAGGTGAGAGAGGAACGGTCCCACACCAGCACACCGACACACCTTGAGGAAGGTAGGTACCTCAACTCAGCCCTCACCCAAGACAGAAGGGAAGGGTTGCAGAGAGGCTACCTACCCACACTACTGCGCGACCTGCGTAAGGTGCTGACCTATTTCGGTAGTTGCAATGCATGGAAGAGGGGGGATGTTTTGTTTCCTTTTCTTTCTGAGGCGGACATAGGGGCTAGTCGCGATCTCCTTTTTTTTTTTTTTTTTTTTACATCACCTGTTGGAAAGGGGGGGGAATCCAATCATTTCTTGTCTTCACTTGGCGGATGATTTTTCGGGGCGTTTTTTTCATTGTGTATGGGTTTGCGTGGTGGACTCGCTTGATTTCGGCTCGAGGATTGTCCGCTTGTTCCCCTGCAGCGTTCATCACCAACGACACATACGCAAACGCAAGACCCTTGGTCTACGCTCCTTGAGTTCTCAAGAGGGTTGGAAACGCACACAAGGCCTCCATTACGCTGGTTGGTTGTTGGCTTTGCGCCGTGGTAATTGTGACAACTGACGGGTTGCTGCAAACCAACCTGTCATCCAAGTATCCGGACGGAGTACCAACGGCCAATACCCAGCGATCAGTCAACGTCCAACGGCCGAAACTCAAGGACGACCAACAGACGTACGCGTATGGAGCAAACACGCCCATGCTGCGTCTGGTTTCGACCAACGAGAGGTTCATCCCATCCTCGGGCTCTCTCATAGGCTGTCTGCAAGACGCGAGATTGAACCACTTGGCACTCACACACCAAACGTACGTGTAGGCGAACCTCCTCTACCGGTAATTTGGGAACGGACTCGGGTCTGCTGCTGCACCTCTCACCCTTCCCCGGGTTATCTAAAATTGGGGATTCCTACGACACACCGGGTATGTCCCGGACCAAACGGACCAACACGGCGTTACCCGCACGGCGCTGCAAAATAGCCGTTCAGCAGCCGCGATACACTGCCAACGTGTTTATTGGCCTTGTCAATCGAATTCCCATCCCTTTTGGCTGTCCTAGGCAATCTTCGGCCGCGACCGTAGATGGCTGCGTTTGCGCTTGCGCGCTTCCAGGCCCGCTGCCGTATGCGCAGTTGTTCGAATTAAAAGCGCATGGCAATTGCATAGCACAGCACGCGCATAGCAACGTCGGGCCCCCTTCTCCCCGTTTGCGGAGACCTTGGACCACAACTCAGCTCACCGAGCCCTCGACATCACGCGGCAGACACACCACCATGCAGAGTACACGCCACAACGAAACGGCCCAGTAGGACGAGACAGCGTGATTCAATCCCCTTTCCCCGCCCCATCCTCTAACCCAGGGAGAAGGAGTCTCATCCAGTATTCTGGCTCGCTTGGGTTTGGACATCCCACGCGTGCAACATCCCACGTCTGGCTTCTACTCTTCGCCTTGCGAAACGGGGGAAAGGGGGGGGCGAGGAGGCGTAGATGAGTGGGGGACGCATATCGATGCATGCCCTCGGGAAACACGACGTCTCTCGACCGAGTGGTTGGGTCCTTCTGCGTCATCTCTCTGTTTCTCTGTATATCACCCTGGCCTCCTCGATATCTTTGGAGACAACTCCGATGGCGAAACCCCCACGTCGCCCATTCCACGTCCGTCACCGGGAGGTCAGTACTCGTAGATAGGGCAGAGGTATCCGTACCTTCAAGAGGATCTGGATGTTTTGACAAGCAGAGATCATCCTTCCGACGTCTCATCCCGTGTTTCTCACCAACAGCCACTTCCGCGCCGCCCCTTGGCCGTTCGGTACGGTTACATCAACTTTTTCACCGGTACGATACACTCCGTTCCCCGGCGTACATGAGCGTCGTCCCCAACCTCTGGGAAATTTTCTTTCCCATGCCTTCTGCCAGGATTTTTCCTCGAGAAGTCCCTTTAAATGGAGATGACGAGGGTCCAATTCGGTGAGTGAAGACCCTGGCCCCGGGTATACAAAGTATACCGCCTAATCAGAACCCGGAGGCTGGGAAACGACAGAAGCAGAAAATCTCACAGGGAGCCATTACGAATGGCAAGGTTCTGCATATCCAAAACCACCAAATTTCCCAGGGCCGCGGTTTGGGATTCTTTTTTGCTCAATGTTCCCAGCTTCCCTCAGGCTTACCAGGGTCAAGGGAGATGTCCCGCCGACAAAAGGCCCCCGCAACTGAATGACAGCCGTTGCCAAAATCCTTTCTCGTCTCTCTTCCCTCTCCCCACCAAGTCATGCATGCGGACACTGTAGCCGGGGCATGGTTCCCGGGTCCCCGGGGAGAGAGGCATGATTTGAACGCCCGAGGGCCACGGTCCATGGTCCACAGGGGAGAATGGAAGAAGAAAGGAAGGAGGAAGAAGGTCCCTTTTTTTCTTCTTCACTCGACATACGCCCATACACTAAACCCCGTCCATCGGGTCCCCAGTCAGCCCTCATCCAGTGGGAAACATTACCGGTCAGCGACCTCCGTCTCCACCGGGATCCATTTTGCATGGATTCCGCATGGGTGCCCGTGGAAAGAATGGCACGGTGACTTGGACGAACCCAACAGAGCCACGTACTATGTAGATACCTACGCCTCTCCCCCCCCGGTAGCTGAGGGAAACTGAAGCAGGCGGATCTCGTTTCCTGCCTTTCTTAATTTTACCATGTTATTTCGAATTTCAGATTTTCCTTCTAGCGTGTCCCTCTTTTCCCTTCTTCACCTTCTCTCTCCCGTGGGGCTGACACATACCACATACCATCACCCTTGCTAACGTCCAATGGGCCAAATCGCGTGTCTGGGCAAAATAGGTAACCCAATCCACGGTCCCAGCTCCGGCGCGAAGACATAGGTACCTATTTCCACCCAACCCCTGACCGAAACTACCCAAGCGTGACTACGACACGAGCAAGACGAGCAAGCCAGGCCTGGCTCAGCACCTAGCACCTGGAAACGGATGTGGGCAGGCACACTGACAGAAGACACACCGCCCGTCCAACCCCCAATTTCAAAACCGTTGTGCGTTCTCTGGTTCCCTTGCTCTAGTGTACGGATGGTGTACGTAGTATCGGTACGCTACCCGGCCGGGTCTCCCCCTCCATCCCCTCCCAATCGCCGAGGAGCTAACTGCCGCCGCTGCGAAAAGGCAAAGGGCTGGAACGCACCCAACCCAAACCGCCGACGGCTCATCTTCCCTTCTCCCCCCCGGTGACTAGGGCCATGACGACGTGAAACAACCCACTGAAAAAGGCCAGGAAGCCAGTCTGTCACAGTGCAGGGAGACAGCATCCATCCTGGGATGTTGACTCACCGGGTCACCGGGGAACATCGGCGTTAGGATTCATGGGAAATTGGGCCTTTCGGTCTGGCAACTGCCGGTGGCATGCACTGATCCTCCCAGCCCATCAAGGGACCCGGTCTAGCCTCTGAGAAGGTTGACTGTTTCGCTGGGACCGGTCCCATCCATTCAAATATTATATCCCAAGGGAGATTGTTGTCTCGGTGAGGGTCTCACCGGGGTGGAGTGTCTCTCTCTCTCTCCTGTCTGCCCTGCGAAACACGGGCCCGGTCTTGCTTGTGGAGGCTGAGGTAGCCCTTTACGGCCTTTCGTACCAGGAACTCTTGTTTTCTTCCTCCTATTGATCATTTCACCGGGCGCGGCGGCAACCCCCCACCCACCCAATCTATGGAACATTGCGGCTGCCCTTCTAGAATATCCACAGACGCGCCGAGTAGTTGGGACGCTCATCCCTGCAGCATTCCCACCAAGAGCCTCAAGGACTTGCATTGCGGTGTTACCGACTGTCAGGCTCGTTCGCCCGTATCGTACCCGTGCTTCTCTCCCTCCCGCTCTCCCCGGCGGCGAGGCTTGCTAGGCTTCTTCCCGAGACCCGCGGTCTCCTTTGCCGGTCTCTCTCTTTATCTGTGCGAATAACCATACACCTACAATCCCGGCTTGACCCTGCTTCCCGAGAATGTGACTGCTCATACGCCCCCAAGGGGGGCACTTTAGATTTCAGGGTACACATCGCTGCTCTCAGGTCATCAGCTAAACCATCCCGCTGGTACACGATGGGGGCCGGCATCCCAGGTAACGGGGGAGAAGGGAATGCCCAGAAAGAACGATAGCGCCTCCAGGGGCAAGGGGGCGTGTCATTTACAAAGAGAGAAAAAAAAAATTGAGGCTCAAGGGGGCGTGTATGAGAGAGTTGAGGGTGGTGTAAACAAGATGGCGTATGGCAGAAGAGAGGGGAAAGAGGGAAAAAAAACTCACATCCGTCTGGCCAACGGCATACCCTCCCTGACCTTCGCCCACTCCTCCAAATCCACGTCAACGAAGCCAATGGCCCCCTCGGCGCCCTCCTCCGCCCTACCTTCGGCGTCCACGCCGCCCAGCTCCAGCTTGACCTGGCCCCATGGGTCGACGACCATGCTGTGCCCGTAGCTGCTCCTCTTCGGGTTATGCGCGCCCACCTGCGCCGCGGCGACGACCCAGCTCTGCGTCTCGATGGCGCGGGCCCGCAGGAGGGTCTCCCAGTGCGCCTGGCCCGTCCGGATGGTGAAGGCGGAGGGGTAAAGCAAGACCTGAGCGGGGCCGCCGCCGCCGTTGTTGGAGAGAAAGGGGCTCTTGGGGCCCGGGTGCGTCAGGGCTAGGGCCGGTTCCGGGAAGCGGAGGTCGAAGCAGATGAGGCTGCCGGCGCGGCCGACGGGTGTGGGGAACGGGGCCGTCAGAGAGGGGCCGGCTTGGACCGTTGCGCTCTCTCGGAGGGCGCCGTAGTCGAAGAGGTGGAGCTTGTCGTAGGTTGCGGCTTGGTTTATGGTGCCGTCCGCGTTGATCCAGAGGCTCCGGTTGAGAAGTTTCGAGGCTGGGGCTGGTGCTGACTTGTGAACGTCTGTTGCGGCGGCGGTGGCGGTGGCGGTTGCTGGGACGGGGACGTGGATGCCGACGTTCACGGCGACGGAATGGGCCTTGGCTGCTTCCTGGAGACCGAGAACGAAGGGGGAGTTGGATTGCGGTTGGGCCAGGGAGAGGGATTCTTGGGGGCTCGAGGCGATGTAATCTGCGGCTTCGGGGAGGAAGAGGACCTGCCACGGGGTGTCAGCCGCGCTTTGGGGTGGAACGGAGCAGACATGAAGCCATTTTGTCTTTCGGCTGCAGTGCATTGCAGGTCTCATCTGCAGCGGGATGGGTGCGGTGAAGAAAGAGCCAGCTAGGTCTTTCAAAGTGGCGCCCCCTTACGAGAAGAGCATGAACGTACTTTGGCACCACCAACGGCGGCCTTGGCGACGAGTCTCACGCACTGCTCGAGGTTGTGGGACAGAGACGCCGTGGAACAGATCTGACCGACAGCCTGTCACGCCAAAGTTGAGCCATCAGTAAGTAATCTGCAGAGACACGTGGTCTTGGTTGGGCAGCCGTACCGCGATCGCCATGTTGGAAGATACGGTGAGATGAGCTTTGAAAGATGTGTTTGGATGAGAGACGAATGGAGGCGGGAATTTCGGGCAGGGATTGGCCGTCTAGACTGATGCTGGAGGGAGAAAGTCCGCTAGCCACGTGGCAGATGAAGCGGTTCGGATGATTATTCGAGTACTGTAGGGTGTGAAGGTTGACGATCTTTCATGCAAGCTATCATAGTTCTTGGTTGGATGTCGGACGAGGAGTGTGAGGCGTCTTCCGTTGCGTTGACAGGTGGGCCCGTTGGCCATTTACTGTTCATCGCTTACCTTATCTGATGGTGGGATGCAGCGGGGTAATGATGCTGTTGCAATATCCAAAATATCTCCCGTCATTTGGCGTCTCACACTGGCTCGTGTCTGTCAGATATGCTCTTTGCGGATAGCGACACGTTGCCAGAGAGCCTTGGCACACGAATATTCCTTTTTTTTTTTTTTTTTTTTTTCTCAAGACAACCATGTTTTCGAAGGCCTGGATCACTGACACCCATTTCTCCAAACATTGCTACAAATAACAGCGGAGGGGCTAGACGCATACGGACTTGACTCAGTTTATTAGTTGAGAAAGCATGGACCTAGTGACACCATACTCATCCCGATCGATAATGATTCCTCAAATATCTCGGTGGTAGATTATGTTCATGAGTTCAGCTGACTATAAGACTGACGAGCTCACCGAAAGCTTCACCGAAATGCGGGTCCGCATGCGGGCTGCGGCCAATGGGCATGAGCACATTTGGCTACCCCACTACCCGCATGCACCCCGTTAACCAACCACCTTATCGTTTCATTCTTCTAACTGAATTTTTCGCGGGGCAACCGCACCGGATCGCGGGGCCAATTCAAAGAGACTCCCGTCGCTTGCTCACGGTGTGGCAGACAGCCTCCACTGGAAGTAGCCTGGATCTCACTTGATGGTATTTTGGTATGTATGTGAGTCTCTTGCCAAAAAGCATCAAACATTATATGAAGCAGATCCCTACATTCCAAAGCAGAATAAGTGTCTGAGCCATGGAGGAGGATCGGGCGCAAACTGACCTGGGCATCGCCGCCGACATTGAAGAGGCTCATCGCCAGGAGGAGGCTGCGACTCAACCAGTTTTGAAGCAGCCCAAGAAGCGTTTCGTCGGAAGAAGGACGGCAGCTGAGGCCGCGGCGAGGAATGGAGGTCCCAACGGGTCAATCGAGGACAGCAAGTCTATTCAAGGTGAGTGCGCATGCCTTACATGAGAAGGAACAGCACATGCTCATTCTCATCTCATAGTCGCACAACCCAGAAGAGGCCCACGCCTTCTGAACCAAGTACCCCCCGAGATCCTCAATGACCCGGCACTCAAGTCCGCAATCTCCATCCTTCCCTCCAACTACAGCTTCGAGATCCCCAAAACCATCCATCGCATCCGCTCTTCCGGCGCCAAGAAGATCGCCCTGCAGATGCCCGAGGGCCTCCTCCTCTTCGCCACCACAATCTCCGACATCCTCACCGAGTTCTGCCCCGGAATCGAGACCCTCATCATGGGCGATGTCACCTACGGCGCCTGCTGCATCGACGATTACACCGCCCGCGCCATGGGCTGCGACCTCCTCGTCCATTATGCCCACAGCTGCCTCATCCCCGTCGACGTGACCAAGATCAAGACTCTCTACGTCTTCGTCGATATCAGCATCGACACCTCCCACCTTCTAACTTCGCTCGAGCGCAACTTCGCCTCGGGCAAGACCATCGCCGTCGTCGGCACCATCCAGTTCAACGCCACCATCCACGGCGTGCGCGGCACCCTTGAGAAGGCTGGCTTCAAGGTCCTGGTCCCGCAGATCGCGCCGCTGAGCAAAGGCGAGATCCTCGGCTGCACGAGCCCGCAGCTCAGCGACGACGACAAGGTCGATATGATCCTTTACCTCGGCGACGGCCGCTTCCATCTCGAGAGCATCATGATTCACAACCCCAGTGTGCCGGCATACCGCTACGACCCGTACTCGCGCAAGCTGACGCGCGAAACCTACGGCCACGAAGAGATGCAGGACCTGCGGCGGGCTGCGATCCGGACGGCCAAGACGGCTGGGAAATGGGGCCTCATTCTGGGCTCGCTCGGCCGTCAGGGGAACCCGCACACCATGGGGCTCATCGAGAAGCGGCTCAAGGACCGCGGCATCTCGTGGGTGAACTTGCTCCTGAGCGAGATCTTCCCGGGCAAGCTGGCCATGATGAGCGACGTCGAGTGTTGGGTCCAGGTCGCGTGCCCGAGGTTGAGTATCGACTGGGGCTACGCCTTCCCGCGGCCGCTATTGACGCCGTACGAGGCGTTGGTCGCGCTCGAGGTGCGCGATGATTGGGGCAAGGGGGTTTATCCCATGGACTACTATGGAAAGGATGGGCTCGGGCGCGTGAAGCCTGGCCAGCTCGAGGCACCGGCGTGACGACCTTGGGGGGAGGAAAAATTGAGGAAATCTAAAAGTTTTATAAGTCATATTGGAGCATGCAATGATACCTCTTTTCGACGTATTTTTATATTGTTCCTAGCACAAGTCGGCTCCTGATATGGATTTTACATTTCCTTTATTCCGCTGGTCGGAACTGCCTGCTTTTCAGAAGAGGGGGATATATAGGCCCGGCTATCAAGTAAGTTTAATGACTCGAGATCGGGTCATATTTCACGAGCCTTTTGAGAAAGGAGATTGGTTTGAACCAGCCTTCTTCCCATGGCTGATTCTGATTGAAGAGTGCATAGGCTTGGAAGGTCAAATTCATCTGACCCAGAGTGCCTCATACATGCCCATCGCTCAGTCGAAGTGGCGTTGTCTGTCATAAATCCGAGAGTGTTCCTATCGAACCATGCCTAGGAGTAATGACTAATGCCTGACTAAGAAGCCAGTGAGATATACTCAAGGTCTTGAGCTCAGGGCCAAGCGGTCTGGTTTTGTTTGCTGTTGTTCCGTTTCCTTCCAGTGTCATCCCTCATTCACTCAATTAAAACTGCATTTTCTTCGTCGGAAAGAGCCGCGTAGACAGGAGACTTTCCTGCCGCCTGATTTGAAGAGGAGTGCAACCGCTTGATTGTCACGCCGTATCAGACTTAGCACCAATGAGAAGCCCTTGTTCTAGCTTTGCTGTTCATCCATCTTCCTCTGAGAATTCTAAACGAAGAAGCAATATATAGCTAGTTTCAGGCAATGTATGCACAAAAGCTTTCGAGTAGATTTGACAGTGATTCAATAACCACCGGTTCCATGATCTATGTAGTTGTGAAGGGAAGTGTTGTCAATTTTTGGAAACTCCTAGTGCAGCCGAGAGTAGGACGCTTGAGACTAATACAGTCTGGCCATTATTCTGTTAGCTTCTCAGTTGCCACAATTCATCAAACAGGCTCTCTATCCATGTTTTTAATATGACATGGAGGCCTTTTCATCGATGGTCAAAAAACAAGCTTTAATTGCCTATCTCGCACAGGCACATTTGTTTACGAAACGAGTTCCTTGAATAATCATTAAGTGAGGCTATCGACCTGAGCGAACAATCGAAAACATCACGAAGGTAAACAGCAACCATATAAAGTCATCTAGACCTACAGCCCTAGGGAACTTAGCTACAAACCAACGCGCCTCATGCTTTGCTGGTGGTGCATCTGACAGCCGACACAATGCTAAGATTCATTACGTCGCCTGCATGCGGTGCTGGCGAGGGGATCTTGAGCGTGTTCTTTGTCCACGTCCTTTCGAGAATATAAATCTCGAAGGGTGAGGCTGAAAAGGCTATCCAGATGCGTATTTTCCGCTCAGATCCCGACCACCTCATTGGTTGTTCAGTCTTGGCGAAAGAAACTCCAATCCCAAACCCGGAAAGGATCTTGCCACGATTCCTGCAAGATCGGTAATGATGCCATTGAATGGCACCTGCGTGCCCAAAATCCTAAAGTCAGCACCGTTGGCGCGCTCGTACTTATCCCTGGAAGTCCACCACCAATACAGTTCTCCTTCACCTTAATTGCAATAAGGTCAGGCCAGAGTGTCAGGATACTACCACGGACCCTTCCGAATAAGGCCATTTGCACCGATTACAAGGGTGCGAACAACGTTGCCAAGACCATGCATGTTCGAAAAGCGTCCCGCCGATTGGTTCGTTCGTGACGATCGTTCTGGGGACCTTCTGTTGGAAGTGCTACATTGGCATTGCTTAGCCTCAACCTTCAACTCTCGACTCACATCAACCGCTCGTTGCCTAAGTCATAGTAGGGACGAACTAGAAGAGTCATATCGCCATCAACCACGCTCATTCGTCGAGGAGGAACATCTGCTCTGTTTACCTATCTCTGCACATCATTAAATGGCTCGGAAGGGCAGTCGCAAGACAAGAACGGGCTGTTTCACCTGCAAGTAGGTCCCACATGAATGATGTCGTCTTTACAGCAAGGTTCACATTCCTTCTAACCATCACCGCTGGAGCAGGGTTCGAAAAGTCAAGTGCGACGAGGCCAAGCCAGAGTGTAAGCGATGCTCGAACACCGGCCGCATATGCGATGGCTACCCGGCCCCGGCCCCGGCCCCGGCCCCGATCGCCTCGTTGGATCAGCCCCGGCTGCTCAGAGCTCAAAGTGTGTTCCCGAGTATCAGCAGACAGGAGAGTAGGGCGCTGCAGTTCTTTTGTGAAATGGTCGGGCCGAACCTACCCGGTGTCACCGACCCTTACTTCTGGACTCACCTCGTCATACAGTTCAGCCGGTACGAGCCCGCAGTGAGGCATTCCATCATCGCCATCAGCTCGCTTTACGAGGGCGTCATCCGGGTCCAGAATGACCCGTTTGACGTAAAGAACGAGCAGATCCAGAACAATGCCCTCGCTTTGCGTCACTACAATGCCGCCATTAACCAGTTGACCGCCATGGAGAACCAGGGGCTGGTGCTACTGGTGTGTCTCCTCTTTATTTGTATAGAATTCCTACAGTCCAACCGGGAGACTGCCCTCCGACACTGCGCTCACGGCACTGCCATACTCGCCAGCTCCGATTCCACCTCGTATAGGTGGGTGAGACAATATCTCACGCCATTATTTCGACGACTGAGCTCGTTACCCTTCTTTTTTGGGAGCGGACCGTCGGACATGCTCGATTTGAGCATTTCGAGATACCCGGTGCCGGTTTCCTTCAACATCTTCTCCGAAGCAGAGGATATGATTGACGACGTGTTCAACCAAGCGATGCAGGTTATTCGCCGCGGCGATACGTATCGTGTAGGGCAGAAGCAACACATTCCAATACCGTCAGAACTCCTAAAGGAGCAGAACAGAATTCTAAGTCAACTGAACCAGTGGTATGGCATGTTCACAGACCTAGAAGCCAGAACGGGGCCAACGGCAACCAAGAGCTCCGGGTTTGCGCGTGTTTTTGCTTTGGCGAGGTACCGGATCTGTCTGATTTGGTTGAGCAACGCCTTCGTTCGTTCCGAGATGGGCTACGATGACTTCCGCGAAGAGTTCCACAAGGTCGTCGAGGAGACATCGCAAGCAGCCGCCGAACAAAACAGCACAGAAGTCAAAACGAGCCCCGCGTTTGAAATGGGCTTCATTGCGCCGCTCTTCTTCTGCGCCCAGCGGTGCAGGGACCTGGGTCGCCGGCTGGAGGCCTTGCGTCTCCTCAGACTCCTCGCTGCACCCCGAGAGAATCTCTGGGATAGGGACGGCATGTATGCCTTGGCTCGGAGAATTATTGAAATAGAGCACGGACTGGAATTGAACATTGAAGGTCGAGTGTCTCCAGCGGTACAGCCCCAATACCTGGGCCTACCCCCGGAGACGACAAGGATACAACAGTTTAACATCGAATTCGTTAGTGGACGCCAGAAGAACTTTTACGGGCACGAAGTACGTGGCCTCAAGGCTATTTTATTCATGCGCAGTGGGAGCGGCAAGATCTATCTTCGTCCCGAGGCCTTGTTCGAGGAGGACCCTCAACTGCCTGATGTGAGCCAAGGGCACATAGGGGCGGTTGTTTTCCCATAGGTTGCAAAAGTACTTAATAATCAACCAAATCAGAAGCACATACAGTAGTCTCGCGTCCGGCGCCCAGGGCCTCTCTTACATGATGGGGAAAATGTTTGGCGCTTGAAAATATAAGCCTGGATCTGGCGGCTTATCGGTTTGAGTTGGCTCGGATCGAGTGATAAAGACGTCCGCAAAGCAAGGTCTTGGCTGAGGCGTTTTCTGGTTAGAGGTTATATTCATCATGAAGAACATGGCATTCTGTTTGTAAGAGCTGAGTAGGCTTGCTACTTCGTCTACAACATATATTGCTGATGCAAATAACGCTATGCTACTTGCGTATTCAAGCTTTATATTGCCCTTGTTACTTTGCTCTAGCTACGCTTTCGACAAAGATGTGTGGTGTAAAACTCAACCAACAGCCTTTCTCGTAGCTTGTTTATTGCGGCCTTCGTAATTAGAAGAGTTTTTTGCTCTTGGCAGACTCTAAGGACCGTCTTCTTCTGCAGGGAGGTCCAGTCTTGTTCTTCAATGCCTCAAGAACGCCGTCGTAGGCCGGGTGCTTACTGAAGTCTTCAAACCAGAGAAGGGCAGCACCCTCACCCTCAAAGACGCCAGGAACCCAGCTGAAAGGGTCGTAAAAGTCCCAGATCGTGATGCCAATGCAAGCCGGTACCCGAATACAAGCAGTGGTAGACTGTCGCCAGAGAAGTCAGCGTTTTCAATTCATGCTAAGACGGGTGATCGTGTGTCTTACGTTCTTGTATACCTCTCTCTGCCACTCCAAGTTTGTCTCATTGACTGGAAGCTCAATTCGGACGTCCAGCTCTGTCAGGACAACCTCGACTCCAAGCTCGGCGTAGCTACGAATGACCTCGACCTGCTGATCCAGGGTAGGCGCGCTATGTGCTACAAGGTGAGCTTGCATACCAATGCCATCAACCTTGATACCATCGTCCTGGAGCAGCTTTACAATGCGCTTGGCACCCTCGCTCTTAGGACCGACTGACTCGAGGTTGTAGTCATTATAGTACAGCTTTGCCGCCGGATCGACCTCCGCCGCAGTGCGGAAGGCTAACTTGAGGTACTCCTCGCCGAGAACGTTGTAGAAAACGGATTCGCGATAGGTGCCATCCTCATTAAGGGCCTCATTGACGACGTCCCAGGCGTAGCACTTGCCCTTGTAGTGACCGGCAACCTCGTGGATGTGTCTGACTACTACCTCGGTGAGCTCCTCGGGCGTCCATTCTGTTGTCTCGACCCAGGGGGCGAGCTGGCTGTGCCAGACAAGGGCGTGACAGCGGAGGATCTGGTCATTCTTTTCGGCGATGGAGGTCACGATATCGCCCTCTGTGAAATTGAAAACGCCCGGCGAGGGCTCGGTGAAGAGCCACTGCGGGAAACGTTAGCTTGAGTGTACTAGCGATGGACTACCATTTGGATCACAACCTTTTGGCCATTGGTTGGAGTTGTCTGGCCAAACTCGTTGATGTCATCGAGGATGGCGTCGTACTGCTCGTAAGATGCCTCCAGACCAGCGCGCTCGCGCTGTCCAGGGGAGTCGGTCGCGGCACCAAAGTACAGCAAGCCTGCTTTCTTCGCGTAGTAGTTTAGCTGAGCCGAGGCGATGGGCAAGGACGCCGCCAGCAGAGGAACGGTGAAGAATGGGACGTGCATCTTGACCGTTTGGGAACAGTGGAACTCTGGCGAGAATCAAGAGGGCCTATCTCAAGAGACCGGGGTCGGAGAGGTGGGCGAGGGCGAGGTAAACAAGAGGGCACCCCATAAGGAGGACGACGCGCCAATTCATATATGCAAGGTCCGGTCCGCGATGCGACTCCATTTCCCCATGGTTACCCCGATTTTCTAGGCGACTGGACGAGAATCATCTCCAGATCATTCAATGCAACAGCGCCGAGCTAGCAAGGAACTGCCGCCGTGTGTGACGTCCTCCAACTGAGAAGAAGCCGGCTTAGACGTATACCGGCGTCTGGGTCCCAAGACCCGCAAGCTTGGGTAACACGGCGTTGGTTGGAAGAAAGAAGGGAATCGAAATTCCGGAACGAACTCCTCTGATGTGAACTCCGGGACAAGAGGGCTGAAAGAGGAGCTCATTCCGGTGAGAACCAGAGGCGCTCTGCCGGTGGCTGAATAGAGTCAATGGCCCTCTCAGGGCTAGCGCCTTGCAGGGATCGTCCCTGGCAAGAGCTTCTCCATCTCCAGCTGGGGCGGAAAGGGAGACGGTTCAATCAGGCTGTCTGCGGCTAAATTAGAGTTGCAGTTGAAAGCATTTATCCTAATAGCCTCCTCGGGTAGTCTCCAGGTTCCCCCTCACGGCTGATGCGGAGACGTGGAGAATCCCTGACTTTCATAACAATCTCGACCTTCGCGGATATTATCGAGACCACTGTCAAATGCATAGATTTGGCCGAGCGTTCGGCGAAAGCCGGGGCTGACTTGACTTTGGCAGTCTTTAATCGGTGCACATCGGGATAAGGGCTCTTGTAAAGCAAGACTGCCCAGACCGGCACTGTTCATCAACACTAAATAAAACCATCAATGGTGGCAAAGACAACTGCGATAGCAGTGGTATCATTGGTAATCGGTTCTCTACGCTCAACCTGATTTATATGATCCGCGCGGTCCTTCACAAGACGACCCAAAGCGGAATAAAGCTGAGGGGGCGGTTGAGCCTAGTTCAGTGCAATAACATCCTTTGGGCAGATAGAGTGGAATCGACGGCGCCAAGCCATTGAAGTAAATTCTCTGCTTTGCCAACGAACGTACGAAAATTTCTTTTTCAAGGGGCTGTTGCACTTCAACACTCTCGCTGCAGCGAACGACATACTATTCGGGTATTTGTGTCAATTTCTAGAGTATTGTCGCGTCGTCGCTTGCTGACCGATGAACCGCTGAACATGTGATTTGGGGATGCAGATGCCTACCTATTTCCAGGTAGGACCTCATTCTTGGCAGTGAAATCTCAAGGCTGTACGGAGCCAGGGTTGATGCATAACGCAACCCAATGAATAAGATTGGATGGCTGTTCTAAAATTTGGAAATTCGTAGGCAAAGTGCCAGGTGACAGTCGCCGCTTATCGGGCAGGCGAACAACTGTTTTCGGCTGATAGAGTGCCAACTGTCAGGATATCTGCCAATGATCATCATCGATCAAGGTACTTGTTCAGAAGAAGTCAACATGTACGGATCATTGATGCTACTGGAGCCATCTTGACTCGATCCGAAGAACAAATGATATCTGCGGCACTTGGAGCATGGATGTCCATGACGCTGCCAGTACTGAAGAACCGAGACAGCTGATCATGGTCTCGACCGTAGCTTTAGACGGAGGCCACCAATGTCTCGAATCGTGGTCGTATGCTTTGTGGACTTTGACACCGTTCTGTCGCAAACGCGACCCAGCTTCTGAGATACACTCTTGGTAATTTGGGTTGGCCAAGATGCAGCAGGTATGAATGTGAGATTCGGGCAACTTTTGCTGAGAGCTTGATGAGTCCAAGGCGATTTTCTGCAGGCTCACCAAGAGATATCCTGGGCTTCCCTTGTGGTTGTGCTTTTGAAGACCGATCATGCTGGTGCCAGAGCCGCTGCAAGAAACATGATCTGAACGATGGCAAGGATCTGCCATGCAGGAAGAATTCTCCCAGTCAGGATTCACGCGAAGACGACAAGAGGAAGGTCTACGCTGACATCTTCCTTGGCAACTTCTTTGCCGTCTTAGCTCTCTGTGGTGAGCCTGTCGGTTTGGGTGTAATTTGTTCAAAGATCACCCCGGCGACCTCGAGTGGTCAGGAACGGAGACATCCCCTAAGAAGTTTCCGTACCAACGGGCTCAGGCCGGTTTCCAAACATGATCTTGTACTTGACAATCTCGGCAATCTCGAGCTCCTCCTCGGCCTCTCCTTCAGCCCTCGTGACCGCCTCTCCCTTCCGGCGTATGATAGCCATGGCCCTTGGGAGCTTCTTGACCTCGCCTTGCAGTCTCTGGTGTTGGCCGACATAGAGGAAGACGCGCTTCATCCAGGCCGTACTGCCCTCCTCTTGCGTGCCGGGGTGGTAATCAGGGAAAATGACTTTGCCAATGGAGATCTCGGGTTCCGTTTTGCTTGGGTCATCATCGGGGTTGAAGTGAGGCACATTGACGGTGCCTTGCATCTCAAGCAGTGCGAGTCCGGAGGGGGTCTTGATGAGCGGTGGCAACGGGCTGTCTGAAGCCGGTGAGCCCTTCTTGGGAGGATAAATTCTGACTGATGACATTACCGCGAGCAAGGTTTGTCGAGATTGTCTTGGTGATGGACACGACCTTAGTTCGTGATATGCCTTGGTCATGAAGCGGGACCCTCAATTAAAGTCGTCCATCTAAACCAGGGAAAAGGGCGATCGCGGTAGAGGTACGTATCCTGGACCGTCCACCTTCCTAAAAAGGGACCAGCACGTGACCCGGGGCTGGTCCAGCACGGACCAGGAAAAAACTTACCGACAGAACTTCAAGCGGCCTGTGATTGGCCCAAATTTTTTTAATCGTAGAGGGCTCTGGCGACGCACACATTCTCGAAATTCAAGAGTGATTTTACGCTTTTCCTCCTTCCCACTGAATAATCCACGCCCAACGCCCAGCCGCAGTCGACAACTCTTGCACCACCCAACGCCGGCAAGATGAAGGTACGATAACAGCATTCCCGATATACGAGCGATGTATTCGAACGCGATGGAATTGCAAACCAACTACGTCGAGTTCGAAATCGCTGGCGCTCTGATCACCATACCGAATATTTGGAGGGGAAAAGTGGTTCAAGATGGCTGACATTTTGAACAGTTGAACATCTCCTACCCTGCCAATGGCAGCCAGAAGCTCATCGACATTGAGGATGAGCGCAAGCTCCGCGTCTTCATGGAGAAGCGCATGGGCGCTGAGGTCCCCGGTGACTCCGTCGGCGACGAGTTCAAGGGCTACATCTTCCGCATCACCGGCGGCAACGACAAGCAGGGTTTCCCGATGAAGCAGGGTGTCATGCACCCTACCCGTGTCCGCCTCCTGCTCGCCGAGGGCCACTCCTGCTACCGCCCCCGCCGTACTGGCGAGCGCAAGCGCAAGTCCGTCCGCGGCTGCATCGTCGGCATGGACCTCTCCGTCCTCGCTCTTTCCGTCGTCAAGCAGGGCGAGGCCGACATTCCCGGCCTCACCGACGTCGTCCACCCCAAGCGCCTCGGCCCCAAGCGCGCCACCAAGATCCGCAAGTTCTTCAGCCTCACCAAGGATGACGATGTATGTGTGCTTCCTGTTGCGGTCCACCCTTCCAACAGCCACTTCGTCATCGCCTACCTGGTTCTGCGGCGGAGGGTCGAGCAGACCAGGTAGAGTGTGAGAGACGGGACCGTGTTTCCCCTGTTCTTCGATTCTTCATCAGACTATCTGTTGAATGCCTTGAGAAAGTGCGCCAGATATATCAGAAACCAAGAGAAGAAGAAGAGGGGGAATACGTGTCGGGCTTTTATACATGCTATACACAAAAACAAAACTTCTGCAGTGGCTAACGAGGTATTCTTCGCTACAACCTATAGGTCCGCAAGTACGTCATTCGCCGCGAGGTCCAGCCCAAGGGCGAGGGCAAGAAGCCTTACACCAAGGCGCCCAAGATCCAGAGACTCGTTACCCCCCAGCGTCTCCAGCACAAGCGCCACCGCATTGCCCTCAAGCGCCGCCAGGCCGAGAAGGTCAAGGACGAGGCCGTATGTTCCACCCACCCCATGTGCCTTGCACGTGATCTCTACGTTTCAGTCATACTGACCCTCTACCTAGAACGAGTACGCCCAGGTCCTTGCCAAGCGTGTTGCCGAGCGCAAGACCGAGAAGGCCGAGCTCCGCAAGCGCCGCGCCTCCTCTATGCGCAAGTAAGCTTGTCGCCATGGTGGCGTTGCATTGGGAAAAATGAAAAAGTGAAAGATTACTCGGGTCTTCTGGTTTTCTTGCATTGGCGTGGAAAAGGGAAATGGGGAACTGGGAACTCTTGTTATGAAACCAGTTTTCAGTCACATCATGAATGTAATAGGGCATTCAAAATGGAAATGCACATCCTTTGACACGCGAATACCACCTGCAAATGTTTTTGAAGTTTATCAATGTTGATATAATCCTGCCCTTGCCACTTATGTCGCCTTGTGCCCACCTGCCATCTGTGCTCAGGCCCTGGAAAAGACATTTGAGGCTGAATTTCTGTCAGCACTGCCCCGTTCATAATCCGGGGTTGTGTTGCCTAAGTTTTCGTCTTGATCCTGGGCGGGGACAAGATCTGGTCTGCAGCAGCCGGACAGACCCACTAGACCCTGCAAATAAATCACTGGTGGTGGTGGATGGCTGACCACAGTCTATTACCTAGGTTAGAAGCCAAGCCAGAATTACCTTTGCCCGGGGGTACCTCCCTCCGTTACCCAAACATGGAGATTTCACGCAGACTCTTCAGTATTTCATATTGAGCCCTTTCGTTTTGCTGCTCTGAATACGTCGCTGACTCAAACTTTTCTCTAACGCAGTTCTCTCTGACTGTAAAAAGAAACCCGTGAATGCCGTTGTGCCGTACGCCCACCCTTGCGAAACAAAATCCCCCATGCCTTGTATGAAAACCTAGGCTGTCGCTGCCGTCGCTGCCGTCGCTGCCGTCGCTGCCGTCGCTGCCGTCGCCGCTGCTGAAACTCAGAAAACCTCACGGAACCCCTCTCTAGACGGGAACGTGGTTGAAGAGGTAGCTGACGCTCTCGCCGTTGTGGGTGCGGCGAATGGCCTCGCCAAGGACCTGGCTGATATCGATGACGCGCAGCTTGGGGCAGCGCTCAATCTTGTCGCCGAGAGGCACCGTGTTGGTGACAACAACGCGAGACAGACAGCTCTTATTCAGCGTCTCGACCGCGTTGCCGCTGAGCACGCCATGGGTGACGATGGCGATTACTGTTGCTGATGTCAGTGTGTATCTCTCATATCATCGGGGTCAAGGGTGACATACCCTCACGCGCACCACCGGTCTCAAGAGTCTCCGCAGCCCTATTGCATCGGTCAGTGGTGCCAAACATAATATTACAGCGTGTACGAACTTGGCGAGAGTGCCACAGGTGTCGGCCATGTCATCGACCAGAATGGCAATCTTGTCAGTGACATCTCCAACGAGAATCATGCGGCCGACAACGTTGGGGCGCGGGCGCTCCTTATGGATGAGGGCGAAGCCGGTCTCGAGGCGATCGGCAATACCGGTGGCACGCTTGGCGCCGCCCGCGTCGGGGCTGACGATGACGCAGTCCTCGACATTCATATTCTGTCTGATCCACTGGAGGACACTCGGCTCGGCGTACAGGTTGTCGACCGGGATGTTGAAGAATCCCTGGATTTGCGAGGCGTGAAGGTCCATCGTGATGACGTGATTCTATGTTGCGCCGCGGGATCAGCTCGATATGCCCTCTTTCCTCCTCCTGCAGGTACCCAGAGACTTACGCAGCCAGAAACCTGCAACATGTTCGCGACAAGCTTCGCGCTAATCGGAGCACGGCTCTTATCCTTCTTGTCCTGTCTTGCGTAGGGGAAGCAAGCTGTATTTCTTCAGTCAGCTAGCGTTCCTTCGCAACCAAGCGAGTTCCCGTAGTGCGTTTGGAGAGGGAGTAGACTAACGGATGACGGCGGTGATCCGGCGGGCAGACGCAGTTCTGCAGGCGTGGATCATGATGAGAAGCTCCATGAGTCCGTCGTTGATGTTGCCGGGCTCGCTGGACTGGACGATGAAGACATCCTCGTCGCGGACGCTCTCACCCACGGTAACACAGTAAAGAAGTCAGCTTTACAGGCCACTCAATGATTGGAGCCTGCCGGGTTCGAGAGATTATTCGCTAACCTCGTCTCTTGGTTGGAGTAGTTCAAGCTGTAACGGCGCAAAAACCGGTCAATTAGAATGTTCCCCGGAGAATATCGCGTCTTCGCCTAAAGGTGATAGGCCGCCGCGGGGGGGGGGGGGATGAAGCTTACCTCATGGTCTTCGCAAGGGGAATGCCCAGTCTGCAACATGCGCAACCATACGTCAGCGATCGCTTCTTTTGCTCATCCTCTACATCATATTGGTAGCCCGCCTGTGGGAGAGTGAGGTAACGTACCGCTGAGCGACCTTCTCGGACAATTCCCCATGGCTGCTGCCCTTGAGGAGCTTGATATCGTTCGCCATATCCCCCATGAGGCCGGTCGATGTGTGACGACGGGGGGACAAAAGAATGAAGGATTCGAGGAGGGGCGATCGGCCGAATATAAAGGGCTGCTGCGGCACCTGCTGAGGTTTGGCAGGCTAAGGTACGGTCGGATTGTCTGGACGAATCGAATCGCAGCGCGGGGTCACGATGGAGGGGTATGGCTATCGGCCTGTCGGTGTCACACAGGCTAAGGTACAGTCGAGTTCGATTGGGCGGCGTTGTGGTGCTGATATGCGGTTGGGTGAGACAGCGTGCTTCTATTTTGTGGTGTGCTAAAGTCAGAGTCTGTGAACTGTTTCCACTGTGAGTAATGGCCGGTCTATCGTGTGCTGTCCACTTGTAAATTCGCACCGGCTGGTATCGGAGTTGACTGCTTGGGAAAAAAAGAACGAAAAAAAAACTAGTGCTTTGTCGGCATGGTTCCGCAATCCCTGAGAGGCCAACAAAATGTGGAGAAATGCATGGGTCTGTCCTCGGCTCTTGCTTCACTGGCACCATCACCTTGGCAGCTGTATAACGCAGCCAGGTTGCTTGCAGTAATAAGGTAGGTAAACCCAGCATTTTGCCCGTTGCATCTGCAACCCGACCTAAGGATGTCACAAAGCAAATCATCTTCGGATGGGGTTTGATTACTACAATCTGGGTCAGATTCAACCGTCTTAATGATGGAACTCTTCCAAATCTGCTCGTCCTCAAAACAAGCTTGAAAGTCTATCTTACTTTGGACTAACACCTAATTTAGCTGCATTTCATCATGTCTCAGCATCCTTCTGTTTGTGGCCCTCGTCTAGCTGCCAATAGAGGAACTCCTCAGATTTCTATGCTGGCTGGCGAGTCACCACATAATGAAACCCAACAACCAAGACAGAATCTTGGGACTTCCCGCTTTGGTATCCTTGTGTTCATTATCATCTAACGAGCTTCGCATTGATCCTCTACATACTCGGCCCCCGTACCGTCATCAGCCAGCTGTAGTTCCAAGCGGCCTGCACTCCGCCAAGAACCAACCGGCGACTCGTGGTATGAAGATCTGAAAACCGAAAGAGGATGAACGCGAGCAGACCTGACCTGATCCTTTCTGGGCCAAGGCCAAGAGAGTTGCCATATGTACACGTGGTTCGGCATCTATTCACGATGCCCGCCCACTCGAAAGTCACGCGTGTCACCACACTCCAATGTCCTGTGTCGCCTACCATCCCTAATGCAAATGCTGACGTGATCGCAAAACTGTCTATCTTTGCTCGCTCCCTCCTATGCAAAGCCGAAGTAGTCGCTTCCTGCTGTGATGGCCTTCATGAGTTGTTGGCGAAGCATTTCGTAGTTCTCGTATTCAGGGAGATCAAGTTCTGAAACATTTGATTAGCGCACGCATTTCGGATTCGATTCTAGAGGACAACGTACGATTGAAGCAAGTGTGGGAACTGGGGAGGCGCTCCTTGTTGCCATAGTCTCGGTGGATGTTGAAGCGGTTGATACCATTCATACCCTCGAGCTCCTTGAATCCATTAAGAGGCACCTTACTGGTTCCAGTCACGAACTGCAACAGCTTGGCCCGCTCTTCCTTGTCAAATGAACGGATCGCTCGCCAGAACCACTGAATCTGAGGCGACGACGGAGTATAGTTGTGGTACTCGGTATTACTCTTCCAGTCGTCGACATCAATGTCGGGCAAGCCCGAGATGAGGAGTTCCAACTCCTGCTCGTTGAAAATGGAGATGAGATCCGCAGGAATGATATCGTGGAATCCTAGAAAATCAGTTAGCAAAGTGCCTTCTCTCACCAGTCTTGCTCGAATCATCTGATTTACCCTTCAAGAAGTGTTCCATCTGTTCCTTAACCGACGACAGCAGCTTGTGCTCCACCACCAACCTCACGTAATCATGCTTGTTCTCTTCGGTGACGGCAATATCGCGGCCGCCAGTGCAAAGGTCAACGGTCCGGGTCACACCAAACTCATCGTCCTCCACCGAAAACGTCTCCGTGATGATATCCGTAATGTCATTGTCGAGCATCCAAACCAGTGACTTGTAGTAATCCGGGTCAAATGATTCCATATCCTTGACGGAGACCGACTTGCCAAGGATGCGCTTGTATACAGCGCGGCTGAAGTAACAGTCGAGCACTCGACCCTCATACAGGGCCTTTCCGATGATGCGGCCAATGAACTTGAAGAACATGAGATGCTCGTCATTGATTCCACTCAACTTGTTGGGGTGGAATGTGGTACGGTCGGACGAGACTGGAATGAAAAGGGCGTAGTTGGCATCGAACATTTGCCTGGATAAGACCTGGAACCATTCGCGGGTTACACCTCCGGCGTCGACACCCTCCTCGTTGTGGAAGCGAATGTTGAGCTTGCCATACTTCATCTCGTCGCCGGTCTTGAAGTAAAGCGACTTGAAGGAGTCATGGAAAACGTGTTCGCGTCGTACCGAGAGCTGCAATGCCGGGAATGACGGCCTCTGATTGTTGCTGGAACGGCTGTGAACACTGCGGTTGAAGTAGTTGCGCTTGTTGTCGAACTCGAGAACCTTTGGATTCTTGACCAGAAGCGAAAAGGTTCCGGACATGAGCTTGGGGCTGTTGCGGACCAGCTCATTTAGGATTCGGCGATGCTCCTCGGTGAAAGTGAAGAAAAGGCCGGCCATGCGATTCTCTGGGGGCGGGCTTGACAGCAGCATCTCCTTGCTTGTCTGATTCTGAGTTTGCGAATCATCGTTCATAGCGGTATTCTTGCAGACAACCATGAGCGATTCTATCAGCGGCAGAAGGATCGTAGCCACATTGACCATGTTCTCTCGCTCGCGAATAGCGCTGAGACAGGCGCTCAGTTTCTCCCACATCATAGAAAAAGTCGAATTGTGGTACAGTGAAGTAACTAGATCCTGCTTTTCGTTGATGCTAGTCTCGGCATCTTCATCCGCCTTGTCATTCTTCTTCTTGTTGTCGAATAAGTGGTCGAGTGCAGTGAGAACACGGAGAAGCTTGTTCTGCTCAGAAGCGCCAGGCGAAAACTTGGCAAGCGCAACACCTTGAATCTCAGTTCCGGATGTAGCCTTCTCAATATGAGGAAGCAGCTCGTCGAGGTCGGCGACAATATTCTCACTCAACACACGAGCTTGGCGAACCAATTCTTGTCCGAATGTTGCCTTAGCGCCAGGAATGGCAGACAGATTCTTGATGGCTGAGATGGTGTTTTGGAACGTCTTGGAGCTACATTCTCGAGCAACGAATATCTTGACCACAAGGGTAAGATTGTGTGGCGGGATGATCGGAACCTGCATTTGGCGGGGTGTTTTTTGGTTTGTACTCGACTTGTCGTTGGCCTTGGAATTCTCCGACTGGCCGCGTGTTTCGGCACTGTCACCTCTGGGCTCTTTGACTTCGACGTTGGCGCCAGTATCGACAGTGGTATCCTCAGCAGCTGGATTACTCGCGGGTTGAGCGGCTGTAGTTGATGCTTCCTCAGCTTCCGCTGCACTTTCCGCTGTCTTCTTTTTTGCCTCCCGAGCAGCCTTGTCTAGAGCTTCGCGACGGCGTCGTTCCATGGTTGCCAATGGCACAGTGATCTTGTTCAGCAAATCGGCGAGGTAAGCCATGACCACTGAGCTCTCCATTACCAAATCTCTGTCGAGGAGAGTGAGGAGCGAGTTGATTGCATACTTGTGGGCCTTGGAGTCCTTGGCCTTGCCCTTGCGGCTGAGTGTACGCTTGAGTGACGACCCGACCGCCTCGTGTTCCGTCAGGAAGAGCATCGGAATATGAGGATTCTTGGTGGATAGATCTTGCAGCAGATCCAAGCACTGGTGGACGACCATGAGCGGTGATATCTCCGAGTTGGACTGCTGTTGCACAGTGGTGCTCAGCGACGTCAGAGTTCGCTTAAGGTTCTGAGGGGTCTTGGGGTCCACGTCCTTGTCCTTGGGCTTCTTAGCCTTCACAGATAGTTGGCTGAAGCTACGCTCCACGGCGTCCATATCTGTGCTTCCTTCCTGTAAAATCAAAAGAATGGTACTGATGACCTCTAGCCGATTTTGACGGTTTTCACAGACGTCGGCCAGAACGCTGAAGAGGTAGTTGCGGATCGAGCCGATCTGAGAAATGAACATGAGACGCAACAGAGTGGCAACTCCTGGCTTGTCTAGCATCTGCACCACCGTCCGCCGCTGTACCTTATTCTCATTGTTTTCTCCAGATTCGGCAGGCGGAGCGCCTGGTCGACGGGCAACAACGGGAGGGCTTCTGCCCGTGACAGCAGGGTGAGCGCTGTGTTGCTGGGCGAGCAGACGGGCCTGAGCGGCCATTTCAGGAGGCAGATGATCCATAATGTCCTCGCCTTGATCCATGAGAACTTGTTGTCGCAATTCAGGAGGGAATGTCAACAGGATGCTAGCCGGATCCATGTCCACTGCGATCTGGTCTTGGCCAGCAGTTGTCGCCTGGCGGCGCTGCTCGTCTCTCTCTCGTCGGCGCGCATCCTGACGTTCTTGCTGGACGATTTCTAGTCGCAGGTCCTCCGGCAGGGCGTCGAGGAACTCTTGGAAGACTTCGCCTTGTTCCCCGGTGGCAGCTTCCTCCCGGGCCTGTGATCTCCTGGTGCTGACCGTTTGTGCGATGACTTCTTCTCTGAACTCTTCCGGTAGAGCCGCCAAATAATCAGGGTCAATGCCGAGTTCCGTGACGTCCACTTCCTCGCCGCGGATGGTTGTCATGACGCGACTGGCGTCATCTGCCGCGTCGTTGTCGGCCGAGGGCACAGAAGACTCCTGTGTCTCGACCCCTTCCATGGCCTGAGAGCCAGTGACGTCTGGGTGATTTCCTTGAGCAGATACCATGTTCCGCTCCCCGGCGGCAGCGGCGGCTTCAGCAGCGGCACGCTCATGTTCTTCACGCTCCTCTGCCTCTTTCTTTTCGCGAGCGGCCTTCTCCTCGGCCTCCTTGGCTTCCTTGATCCGTCGAGTTTCTTCCTCGAACTTTTTGCGCTCCTCCTCTCGGACCTTGCGTCTCTCCTCTTCTTCGGCCTTGAGCTTCTTCTCGAACTCCATTGCGGGAGGGACCAGCTTCGATAGGAGAATGTTGATGAGCTTCTGGGCTTTTTCGATGAAGTGAGCCCCTCCGAAGACCATTCGAGCTTCTTCTTGGTAACGCTCGAATGTTGACTCGGGAGTGAAGGCGACGGCTTGTTGAGGTTCGTGATACGTCGTCTCACGACGGTTGTCTGCCCGAGATTCGCGAGGGGCAACATGATACTCCCGGACTTCGCCGCGTCCATTTTGAGTAATTGACAAGTGGACGGCAGATTGACCATGTCGCATGACTGGAAGAGATGCGACGAGATCGTTGAGAATAGCAATTGGGCTGTTAGACAAATGCTGTGCACCCGGACCAAAGATTTCGGGAGGCAGACGCAAGCCAATCATACCAGAACCTGACGCAGGGCGGGGCGATGCTTCACGGCCCTGGCCGTTTCGGCGCAGGAGAGGGTTGACACCGTCGTCGGCATTGCTAGGCACCGCATTCGGTCTGTGGCGAGGAGAAAAGTAGCTTCGGAAGTCTACAGGACTAGTCAGTCGGCCGTTCTGCTAATAGATTGCGGTAATGGAAAGAAGAACATACCGCCCAGAGGATCGCGGCCACCGCCAACCATGAAACCGGGAGGAAAAGGGCTGCGGTGTCCATGGCGGTGGCGATGAGCGTGTTGAGGTTGGCCTCCGAATGGCTCGACGACCAAGGTATCCCAACCAAGGGCGGATGGGAGGGTTGGAGGCGGGTGGTCATCTAGAAGAGGGGTCAGTGATCATGACGTCCGAAAGAAGCGACGATTGCTTACGGGGGTAGTCCTCGTCATAGATGAGCTCGTCTTCTTCCATGTCTTCATCGTCATCTTCGTCATCTACACTCGTGTCAGCAGCATCCAGGAGAACCACCTTCCTTGTCTGAACCTACCCTCTTCATCGCGACCATCATCGATGTAGTGATCTCCAAGGTCATCCATGTCGTCGCCCTCGTAGTCTTCGGGATCCATGACTGCTCGAGCTAAATTGTCGATAATGTCTCCAGACTCCATGCCGTGCATGTGAGCCTCTTCGAGGTCTTGGGCTTCCGCCTCGTAGTCAATGTCTTCTTCGTCTTCGTCGTCTTCTTCCTCAGATTCGCTCTCCCAGTCTGAGGCGCCGTCATCCTCAAGAGGATTGCCGTCTTCATCGACGATTTCTTCCACAACGTCGATATGCTCGTCCATTTCCTCCATGTCGTCGGAATCCATGTCATCATCCTCGCTTTCGTCGTCATCCTCGTCCATGTCGTCATCTTCATCTCCCATGATGACCTCAACGACACCAGGATCACCATGAAGGCCCTCAATGTGCCCCATCTCACCCAATTCTTCGTCTTCGTCACTGACGCCATCTTCGCCATCATCAGACACGTCCTCGTCGCCATAATCAAGCTCATCGCCATAGTCATCGTCATACATCTCTTCATCATCGTCTTCTACACCCTAGTTAGCAATAGCATACAAGTCAAATGTGGCGCACAAAACATACCGTCCTCATCGTCAGACTCGTCATCGCTTCCGCGAGGCTCGAGCATGCCGAGAGTAGAGTTACGATAGAGATCCGGCGTTTCTTCGCGGTCGTCATCCATGTCAGACATTGACGATGTTGAGATGATGTCGTCCTCGGCATTCTCGGGAAGAGATGTCGAAGGAAGGACATGAGAGCGGCTCAATTCCTTGGCGGTATCTGTCAGAACGCGCAGAACTCTGAGAACATACTTAATGGCCCTCTTGACACCGGCATGGCTCAGGTCAACCTCGGCGATAGAGGAAGTCAACTTGTCAAGGTAGCCTTTCTCGTACATCATCCTACGCAATTGTGCTTGCGATCGTCCTTGTGGAGAGTCGAGTGCGCGTTGAGATGTTGTTTCTTTGTCCTTCTCGCCGATGACGTGGTTCATCAACTCAGCGAGACACTGCATCTTCAGATAGCGAGTGTCAACAGGTTCTTCGGGTGTGACAGCACGCTCATAGGCTTTCAGAATAGTATCCAAGACAAATTTACGAACAAAGAGCAGATCGGGCTCATCGTCATATTCGAAACGGTCTCGGCTCTTGTCGATGACCCTCTCACCTGTCTTGGCTACGAGCGCAACGAGAACCTGTTGAGCTTGGGCGGAAGTCGCAGCTTTCTTCTTCGACAAAATGCTGTCTCCGTTGTCGCTAAGGTTGCCTTGGCACAGAAGATCGTGGATGAGATAGTTGAGTACATTCGGTCGACGCTTGACAGGTGTGTTCGTTTGCATAGAAGCGCCTCGCTTGAAGTTGATGAACTCCACCTTGGTCTGGTTGTAACTCTGGAGGAGCTCTGCAAGGCAATTGAGCAAGAAGCATCGGTAGATGAAATGTGGATGCTCCTCGGCCCTGAAGACTGGCTTCGTGGACTTCTTATCCTTGTCCTTGTCCTTACTGTCGGTTGCATCCTGATTGTCTGGAGTTGCCTCTTTGGAAGCGCTCTCTGTGGGAGTGCTTCCTGATGGCACGGTGCTCTTAGTGTCCTTCGTGACTTGCAAAGGCTCATTGTCATCGACTTCTCTGTAGTTGAGCAGTTCGCACAAGAGGAAGTGAATGATGCCATGCGGATTCTCGACTACCGGCCGTTTTAACTCGATCACCGGCTTAGGCGCGTCTGCCATCTCCTTATCGTCTGTTTCTGTTGATCGCTTGACATCGTGAATCGACAAGTCCTCAGTAGCCTGCACAGCCGGCTCGACGCTCGCCTCCTCGTCAGAAGCTTTAGTCTGAGACTCGGACTCGGGCTCCTTGAGTGCTAACTGTTGAGCACGACTACTACCCTCGCTTCCAGGAGTCCAACGAGACAGCTTGGTCATCTCATTGGTAATCTCGACGAACAGGTCCGGGGAGCGAAGAGCCAGAGGTGCCATGTTACGCAAGTATGTGCTGAGATCCAGGTTTCTCTGAGTTCGTTGGGGATTGTCAAACAGGCTACGAACCTCAGCTCGCATGATCTGCTTCAGTGTCTCCTCGTCTTCAACAATATGTCTCAAAATAGACATGATGCTGCCTGTAGTCTTGCTTTCTTTCAATCGTGCTGCACCGACGCCAGCAAGCTGTCTGACCATGGCAAACAGCTTTCCAAGGTTCTTCCTCTCTCCAACCTTTTGCGCGATGGCAGGTTTGCGTGTCAAGATGACGATAACACGAAGGACCGAGGTTGCGAGTGTCTCCTCTTTCCCAAGAACAGGAAGTAGATTTAGGATTGCATCCAGAAGCTTGTCCCGCTCTTCATCAGACACAATTCGGTTGCGTTGAGGAAGCACAGCTGGAACGGCAGTTTCGTTGTCGTTGGTTGGAGGTTTCCATTGCGCTTCCAAGGGCTGCTCATCGTATGATAGCAAAAGCTCGACGATCAACAGAATGTACGGAATCCACGGAGGAAGCTCTTCATTTGAAGTTGACGACCCCTTCAACTTGAGGAAAGATATGTACTCATCCACCTTCTCTCTCAGAATGTCGATATTGCATTTGAAGAAACTCTTCTCTTGCATGAGGAGGGCAAGAAGGTGAGCATAAGCAGCAATGCTGGTTCCATTCGGCTTGGAATCGCTGTCATCGAATGAAAGGGAGGTCAATGCATTTGCCAGAGTTGCACCGACCTCCTCCCGAGCCTCGTCATTTGGCTGACGGAATACCATGGCGCTGATAAGCTCCGACAGCTCGATGGCCGAGTGAGGATGGGCCCTCACGACGTCGAGAGACCTATCGATGAGGTTGTCTCGCAGTTTTGATCGTTCCTCATCTAGGATTTCCTTGCTTGTCGCCTGAGTTTCGGCGCTAGCACGGGCCTGTTCTTCGGTGACAGCTGCTGGTGTAGTGGTATTGGTCCTCACTTGAACTTCGTCAGCTACGGTAGGACGTACGTCACTGTTGCCATTCCACGCAACAGACGCCCTGTCTCCCAAGTCGCCAAGTACAGCATCACCAAGTAGACGGTCTAGCTCTGGGGAAGCGAATTCCGGTACCACGTCGACTGCCATAGCATCGGCATCAACGGGTGCCGCAGGTACCGGTACCGTACTCTCTGGCTGACTGGGAGCGTTGATTGGCTCAGGTCTATCAGGATTGTAAGCATCTTCGGAGGGTACCGGATTGCGTTGGCCTGCTTTGCCAGCCTTGTGAAGACGGCTGTACTCGGTTGCCGACGGTTGGTTCCCGTTGGCTCTGAAGACAGCCTCGCGAGCCAGCTCCACGTCCGCCCCGTCTTCTTCAAGTTGACCGAGCAAAGGGTTCTGAGACTGCCAGTTGAATAAGACTTTCGATTTCTTAAACAGTTCGACAGCTGGTGTGTTTCGAGATGGTTCTTGGTCACCCGCAGATATGATCTTGAGGATTTCAATCACCTTGGCCACTGCCTCGGGTCGCAACTTCTCGATCAACGTAGACTCCCAAGTTTCACGAATCACCGGCAAAACAGCCATTCGCACTTCCACCACAATCTGGTGAGATATCGGGGTGTCCGGGCGTCTCTCGGTTGAACGAGGCAGAAGGCCAAATTGCGCCGTCGAGTCAGAGATATTCTTACCGTTGACGAGAGCAGCAAAAAACTCAAAGATTTTCCCGAGACCAAAAGATGCAACTCTGGCACTAGCAGTAGCGCCAGCATCTGAATCTCCGGTATCCTTGCAGATCTCCGCCGAGAACCGCTGCACCATGGTGGTGAGGACTTTGAAACCACCCTGCTCCATGAAGGCGGCAAGCACAGGTACAACAACCTGAACAGATGGACGCTCTCCGGATGCTCGAGTATTGTCCATCAGCATCTCCGTTAATGTGTGAAGCATGATGATCCAGTAGTGGTACTCCTTAGCTGTCGGTTCAGCGAGATCGACTGAAGGAGCCAACTGCGCCAGAATCGTGCCTGACAACTCCTTAGCAATGTCAACGTGCTTCGGACGGGAGTATGCGTCGCGTTCACGTCTTGGGAATAACGCTTTGCCAAGCTGCTGGAAGAAGGGGAAAGTGGAGGGAACCATGGAGTGGAGGAGAATGCGAAGGGTCTCGTAGTTGCGGTACCGAGATGTCGCTTGTTCTTGTTTAGTCGGTGCCTTGTGATGAGTGCCAGAGGCCGCAGCCGGAACAGCGCCGGACGCAGCGTCTGAAGGCTCAGCCAGTGCTGGCACTATCTCATTCTCGCTCTCGCCAATAGTTTGATTTCCAGCAGCACCACCGAAAGAGACCATAACGTCACTTCCAGGAGCTGGCCGCTTAGCCCACCAGTGTTGAGGCAGAACATTGTGCTCAGCGCCCTCTTCTGCCAGCACAGCCTTCAGGAGCGGCCCCAGCGACTTGACCAGGTTGATATAGTAATCGAAGACATTGATCGGATACAGCTGAACTGAGTTGGAGCGCGGCGAAGACGTGAAACATTCATACAATGTCTTGATCAGCGACTGAGCAGTAAGCAGTGCCTTGACCATCTTGTTGCCATTGAAAATGCGTTCTTGCGCCGAAGCGGTAAGACTGCGGACTTCGTCAAGGGTCATCCTGCCGTCGGGAGCAAGAAAAGGGGCAAAGTAGGGCGCATCCGCTTTGTACTCGGCCAACGGCTTGAGTGCATCCACAGAAGCTTGTGCACGCTTGAGTAGGGAGGGTAAACCGAGAACCGGAGACTGCTCGACAAGCTGAGATATGACCAGGTGCAGAGTCCGGGATGCATGCGAGTCGCAAAAGTCGTGCGGCAGACTAGGCAGTTCTGCAACGTCCAGCAATAGCTCAATCCCTCCATGGTTAATAAAGTAAGCTTTCAGCGTATTGTTGTTGAAATAAGCAGAGAGGAAGCTTGACAAGGCATAAACGTAAGGCGTAATCTCATCGTAAGCTGTTGCAGACGAAGACGACTCCTCAATACCCGGCGCTCCTTTCTGCGCCGAAGCCTCGGTGGCATCTGACATCTCGACGTCGGCGTTGTCGCTTCTCTCCTTTGCTTTGACTTCCGTAGCGGAATTAGCGGAGGGGTGCAACACTTGATCCTTGTACCTCTCATCAGCTGAAGGAGGGTTTTGTGAACCGTCGCTGAGGAGCAGTTTCGCTCCCCACCCAGCGGTCTTGGCCTTGTATATACCGAAGGACCTCACCCGAGCAACCATATCGATGACAGCATTTGAGATTGGACGCCTCAGGTTGGGATGATGGCGGGCGAGTTCATCAAAGCTAGCACCGACATTGCTAGCGAGGTGGGGATCGGTTTCCATGGTGTTGACATGGGCTGGGCTCTCGAAAATTTCGAGAAACGACTCAAGCGCGCGAGAAGAGGCCACCATCTTCATTCCAGCATTATTCAGGCAGATCGAATTGAGCACTTGTGGGACGACGTTGATGGCGTCGGACGTTGCCAGGATGCCCTGAGCCAACGGGCGACGATCATGCGATGAACCTATCTCTTCCTCGGGGGGTGGGTGAGGTCGAGTATCAGCCTCAATTTGAATGGAAGCATCCGAGGGATCAGGGCTGCTTTCGTCATCGTCGTCACGGTCTCTGTTATCCCCATCCCTGCTGTTCTCGCCGTTATTCTGACCGCGGTCAACCGTGTGTGTCGTTTGTTCCTCGGCATACTGTGGAGGCGGAATCGTAGGCTGAGAGGTGACTGGATGGCCAGTAATGGCTTCTAAGTAAGTGACGATGATGCCAGACTCTGAAATGGCGGCGAAACTCGTGGGGTCGTTGTTGATAAAGTCACTAAGCACCGTGACTGTATTCGTCCACAAGACGGACCCATAGCGTTTCGTATTCTGCATGATCTCTCTCAGGCTGCCCAACAGCTCGGATTTGTCAACGAGATTGCGGAGAAGCCGATCAGTATTGCCGCCATAGGTGTAAGAGTTTGTCATCATGTGATGGACGAACTTGAGGACCCATTTCAGGGTCTGCTGTTGATTGTAGGGAATCTGGTAATCGACAACCTGACAATAGTGTTCAGGTCTGTTTCCCTGTCCAGTTTCCACCAGCTGCTTCGAGTCGACCACTGTCGTGACAAGGAGGTCGGAGATAGCGTCAAGGCCGGATCCGCTGAAGAATGACTGAAACGCATTCTGATAAGTCCAAATCAGTCCGTCGAGGAAGGCCAGAATCATGGATTGATTGCGTTGAGCAACATCGGACCTAATCTTGAGAATCTCCACCAATATATCCATCAGTCCGGCCGTCACCATCTCGGCCCCAATCCGGGTGGACATGGCCAGATGAGTCGTCAAAGAGAAAAGGCGGGTACGCCACTGATCGACTTCTGTGGTATGGATTCCGCGGTCGGGTTCACTGGTCTTCATCCCTGCTACAGCCTTCCGGATCACGTAAAGGAGAATTCCGTGGTTGACATTCGCATTCAGGGCAGACAAAACATCTTGGTATCTTGCGGCGTAGTTTGAGATGACCTCGAGGAGGGCGAGGACGATGGACTGCAGCCAAAGTGGCACTTGAATGGAACCATCAGCAGGTGGGTGAATGAGTTCCGCCAGTTGATAAGCCAATTGGTAGCGTCGGGTTTCATCGTTGTCGTGACGCAGAACTTTGTCGACGAAAGTCGTCTCTGGATGGATATACGCCAGATTCGTGATGGCGAGGAGACGGACGGCAAGTGCTTGCTGCCTGGATTCCGCACCGTCTAGGAGGGCCTTGGCTACTCTCAGACGGTTTAGAACCTCATACTTGGCTGAGGCCGGCATATCCGCAGGACATCGTGCAAGAAGCTCGTAGATGGATGTGGAGGCAACGACTGATTGCGGCAAATCAAAGATTCTCTGACTTGGGTTGGCCTGGTCATTGGAGACGAGAGGGCTTCGTGTACTCAAAGGCGACGTCTCGTCAACGCCAGCCTGACGAGCAGATCTTGGAGTGTTGTGCTGAGAGCCGGCTGTCGTACTCCGTCTTAGAGGGGTTGGTGTAGAAGGCATGTTCGAACCAACGCGATCAGAAGCCATCGAGACGGGGTGATCCTTTGCAGCAGAGACCACGGTGTAAGTGATCTTGATGTCTCCCCAGCCGTTCCAACGCCCTTTATCTGGTGTAAGAACAGCACCCAAATCATTGGCAAACATGATTGCGGCGTTCTTGTGGCTTGACGCCAGGCCCTTCTCCTTGCCCTTGACGCTGGACGTGGGCGTGGCAGTAGCCACTGATTCTGAAAGACTGACAATAGGAGTCTTGGCGAAGGGAAGAGCGAGGCTGTTCACGCGATCAAGGTCGATCTGGTAGTGATTACCCAGAAGTGCAGTGCTCACTGTGCGGGAGGCACTTCCTATTCTTTTCACTGAAGCTTGATAACGCTGTGCCAACTCGGCGCTGACCTGCAGAGTAGCCAGAAGAACCGACAGAACTGTAGTGTTGAGCAGCTTGTTCAGGACCATGCTACTAGAATAGATGCTTCGGTTGCCGCAGTGCTCCAGGAGAGTGCGGGTGAATTTGAGGACAGCCTCAATGAGCTGCTTGTCTCCATCTGCATCGTAGCCCAACTTGGCAAGGCCGTCATTGTCCCACGTCTGATCACCGTATGAATCGGTCTTGGGGCCTTGATTGAGGAGCAAATCACGTCCGAAATCGCGGTTCTGAGGGCCCTGTTCCAAATTATAGATGGTGCAAAAACAGTCCAAGATGGTGTCGAATCGGTTGAGGAGAGGGATCCAGTGGTACAAATCACCTCTGGGGAAAGGCCATCGTGTCGGGAATTTGGATAGGTGGTCTGGAAGGAGAGGCAAGGGTGTCGAGCATGCTGACGTGACGAAGTCCTTGAGCCATAGAGACTGATAATAGTTAGGGACGCTGACATGATGTGTAGAAGAAGGGGAGCACGCAGGCAAATGACTTACCAGAGTCTCAGCATGCTTGGGCTGCATCTGCTTCGTTATCTTCCCCATCGTGGGCGAGCGCGGCAGGGCCGCAGGTTCATATGTGCAGCCTTGCTAGCTAGCCCGCGTCGGATAATAAAGGTCTAGATGGCGCTGCAGGGTATCTCGTAGGCGTTGGCGCAAACGGAACGGACGCGTCGCAGAAGAGGGTATCCTTTGAGGGTAGTGTACAGTCGAGTAGAGTAAAAGGGTTGGCGGTCTGTTGCGTGCTAAAAAGTCTAAAGAAAGCGACCAGTCGATGACGGGAAAGCTTGGGTTAGAAAGGCACAGAATGTGCGAGGCCGGGTGCAGGTCGTCCTCGCAGGCTGCTGTGACAATAGCTATGCCAAGCGATGGTTGTTCGGACCGTCGTGTCGAAAGTGCGTGTCGCTCAGAGTCAGGTTCGTAGATTCCTCACGAGTAGCAGGCGGCGATATCAAGCCGTCGATCGCAACGAGTGTCGGGTGTTGAAGGTGAGGTGGAAGGTGGAGGGCGGGATGGGATGTTGGAGAGTGAGGTGGAAAAAGAAGTTGCAGATGTCAAATCGGCGAGGAAAGGTAGGTGCGGTTACAGTGGGCCCTTTGCGTAATAGCAAGGTAGGTAGAGGTAGCTCCTGCTTGCCTGCTTGCCAGCTTGCCAGGCAAAGAAAGTGCCCTCACTTTTTGGTTGTAGGCTATGGACGAGTGGTCTGTCGACTTGCGGGCGGTCAGACAAGGTGGGAAGAGGCGGACACTTGCCGGGCTTGGTATTCTCGCACTGTTCTTTTCGCGAATTAGTCAACCATCAATACAGTGTTGATATATCGGGGAGACTGTGACCACGGTGCCTGTCCACCTACCTTACGGCGGGAGGATAGCGGGGAGGTGAGTGCACGGTTCAACTTACATGTTGTTGGCGGGACCCAATGTGGAGGCGGCATCACCTTTGTTGACGGTACGTACCGCGCCGCAAGGCGACCAGATGTGCTAATGAGTGGCCAGCACTCAATCTTCCACTCGGTTCTGGAAACGGTTTTCTACCTTTGCTTCACATAGTACCTCAGGTATCTAGCACTTTGGTCGGTACCCTGAGGTATAATTGGATCATGAAGACATCATGCGGAGGTATCCTCTTTTTTTCTCTTGTTGACACTACCTATCTATTCAAATATCCAAAATTCTTCCGACCCTTACCCCTTTTTTTTTTTTTTTTCATCCTTTTGAAACTTTTCATATGGCAAACAACCACCCTTTTCCTCCCCTATGTCCAACAAACCGCCCACCCCCCCCCCCCCCCCCCCCCACCCCCCCCCCCCCCCCCCCCCCCACCCCCCAGCCCCCGTGGTAGCTAGTGTTCGGGCTGAGCGCGTGTCGTCTCCTTGGTGCTTCGCTCAGCCCACACGCACCACCACGCCCCGTCCGCCCACGTGACCAGCGGCGAGCCGAGGGAATTGCGTGTGGTCGGGCGTTACTCTGTTTCTGTCTTGGGTACGCTTCGAGCACGATGGGTTTCTGCTGTCACCGTCAACTAAAATTGCGGAGATAGAGGTTTTT